CATGCCAACATTATCGTTGTAACTTCGTATTCACAAGATGGGAATCAGACCATTTTACAATTTCAGACTTTATTTCCCTTTAAAAAAATCCTCCAGAGCCACAAATCTGAAAAGAAAATGTAATAGGCCCTACTCTCCAATAAAATGTTTGAGACATGTTATGTTAAAATAATAAAAGAACAATATTCTTATTTTGGGGGGATGGGGGAAAAAAAAACTTAGAAATGTCGCCAGCGGGGATCGGGATCAAACCCGGGTCTTCCCGCTCATCAGATCTGTTGCTTATCCACTAGACCAAGGGTGCTACACAACTGTTGGTGGTAATTTAATACAGTCGAGTCTCGTTATAACTCGTTCGGACCTAGACAAATTGTTTGTTTATATCAGACCTAGACAAATTGTTTGTTTATATCAGAATTTTGTATTAAGAGGAACATCAGTCCCATTCATTGTGCACATAAATGCACAGTCGGAACCATGGCTTTATGTTTGTTATTAACCAGAATTTTGTATTAACAGAGTTTGTACTAACGAGAGTCGACTGTATAATTCAGCCCGATCTTAGAGAGTACAGCGCCCTCTGTTGATATGGGTTGCCGCCAGCAAACCTTTTGTAAACGTTAGCTTGCCGGCATTACCTCCGGCAATATATCCACTATCATCTCATATCTGGTTTGGATACTTGTGTGCTTGGTACTTGACAATAATTTACATGCTTTACTAGCTAGTACTACTACTAGCATGACTAGTACTAGTAGGCCTAGTACTATATATACATACTATCATGGAAATATTAATGCGCCTATGAAATGTTTGATAGGCGCATTAATGTTATCAAAAGACATGCATCTGGAACTGAGAAAAATTTCCAATAGAAAATACTTTAAAATTGCTTGCGTACATATGTAACTCCAGCTGACATGTTCATCAGGAATTCGACACGTTACAAGTCGAATTCCTGATGAACATGTCAGCTGGAGTTGCTGCACAACCAAAGAAGGGGTGTCTGGATGAAGGATGTGACGTTTACATGTTTAAACGTTTAAACAAAAAACAATTATAGTCAAACGTCCCATTGGTCCGAGTTCCACTGGTTCAGGTTGACTGACCCTGACCCTAACCCTAACCGTCGGACCAATGGGACTTTGGACCAATGGGACGTCATACCAATGGGATGTGGGACCAATGGGACGTCCCCAAGTTCCTTGACAACGGCTTAAAACACGTCGCAAGTTACGACGTGCCTAGTGGTCATCGCAAAATAAGATGCGCTCTTTTCTTAGCCAATTTTATGCCATAAAAATTACATAAACGAGACTATAATACTGAGACAATGTGTGTAAAGTTGTAAATGGACAATGCATTGAAGTAATTATGAAGTTGCCTTGAATATTGCAGTGGGAATTTGAAAGTATTAATACAGTCCACCGCGAGCTTGTTTTCCTTAAAGCTATAGTCCATCATTTGCAGCCATCCGAAAAAGTAACTGGCGTATTATTGTTGAAAAACGTACTTGGTTGAAAGATAGTAAGTGGACTAAACTCCCTGTGAAATTAATCTTTTTGGCAAGCTATCATTTTGAAGTAATCAACGAAAGAAGGCCTTTCCAACAGTGCGTCTTAAGACGCACCGTAGGAAAATTTACATTAGTAGTTCGTTTTGTTATTCGGCGCAGTGCGCGCAAGCATTGGCACGACGCACAGGCGAGCGCGGTTGCTATAATTCGTCGGATCAGTGCGCGACATCGCGTATAGCTGCAATTCAAAACATGATTCAGCAACTTTTGATTTGAAATTGAGATCCTAGAATGCTGTTTTTCTCGGAATATACAGCTGAAGCTGAGCTGAAACTTCATCAGGTTAGTTGTTCAGTATCCTTCATCAGATTTTGAACACTTTTGTTGCTTCAAACGAACAAAATGCACAAATTAAAAATGATGGACTATATCTTTAAAAACTGCATCGCGCGTCCACAATTTTTGTTTTACGTTTTAAAAACTTTTTGAGAGGAGATCCAATTTGTTGAATAACAGACAACTATTTTCTGTACGCTGAATAAATACAGTGTTGTGCTATATGATGCGTCGCACTCACTGATCTCTATATAAAGACTGGATAGCTAATACAGAGCCGCACAATGTACGAATTTGACGCCATATTGGTGAGACCGGCTGGTGATCTACAAAGGACAATTTGTCGTTTTTATAGACAGCATGATTTCTTTTGCAACGTCGCAGTTCACTTGACTTATATTTTGGCCACCACCACTGACCAACTGACCAAGGTTTACTACAATTTTTCTAACGTCGTGGTTACTTTTATAATGTTACTAAATATAATGCCGCAAATCACTTTTTCGGCGTTTTTGAAATAATAATCACTACGGAAATGTGTCCTTTTTAGAACATCATAATATGTGTACGTGACCAAAATGCGCGTCAACTGTTGATACAACGCGCGCGTATTTATGCGTAGAACGTTCGTATATACGCGGCCATCTTCGTGAGACCGGGGGCGAATTGGTCAATATGCAAAGTCTACTGTGTGAATGTTGTATGCTTATCCGCTATCCAGTCTTTATATAGAGATCAGTGGTCGCACTTATGACATGTTTTGTGAAATGAGTTGCAGGACGTGTCGCAGCTGCGATGCATCGTATAGGGATATGACGTGTTGCAGGCAAGTTGCATCGTATAGGGATATGACGTGTTGCAGGCAAGTTGCATCGTATAGGGATATGACGTGTTGCAGGCAAGTTGCGATGAGCTTTATGAAATCGGGTGCTGGAAGATAAAATTTAAAAAATAGATACGACTATACATACATACATGTACATGTACGGCTCTTGGTACAAAAAGTTGTAGAAATAAAACTGAAATTTATGAATGGCTTGATTGTCCATGCATGGTCTCTTGACTTAGATACTTCATTAAGAAATATCCATGATAACCAACACAGAAATCCAACCACTGCAAATTTGCAATATAAGCGCTGTTCTGTGATATATGTATACATTGTTCGTATATACACACACACAATGCACTAATGTGCTGCATGACATGCATGAGCATCAGTTGCAATGTAAACAAGTAGTACTAGTCATTCACTTGGGAGTGAATGCATGGAGACACAGTTACAATAACCAATATTTATTACAGTTTCCCTAGGCAATTAGGACAGGAGAAAGATGTTTGCATTGTACATTTAACTTGTGGATTAAGGTTCCCCTTAACAGTAGGTAGATTAATAACACGGCGTTCCCACTTGAATTGGGAAAAGGTGGATCAAGATCCGGCATTTTGGTGTGATCGTTATCTTACCGCAACGAAACCACAAGTCGCGTTCCCACTTATGCTTGATCCACCTTTTCGTACGGAAATGTCGAGTCCAAAAGGTCACTGAGTTCTGAATTACGCGCGCTCTGTGGGACTGCCAGTGTTGCATGCTAGGATGAGTCAGTTTTCAAACAGCGCTATCAGAATTCACCGACAAAAATTACGTGAATTCACCGACATAAATCACGGATCCGTAAAGGGTCCGTGCGTGCATAAATTAACTGGTGAAATCGTACAGCGTTGCTCATTGCGTGACGTCGACAGAAACCAATGCATCGATAAGGGATTCCCTGGTTCTGAAGCTTCTCATTGTTTAAACATGGGCACATGATGTACTACGACATCATTTTCCAATTTTCTATAATCAATATTATAACACCTCACCCACAAATTCTGTGTCTTGATTGGCCGAGAGTGAGTCACATGATACTTTCTATTTTTGCTATCTTTCTGTGCACGGCCAAAAGTACTATACCCGTAGCAACCAAAGTACTATGCGCGTAGCACGTTTTGTTCCAAAGAGAGCGCGTCACAGAGTTGGGTTCAAACATTTCGCGAAGGGGTAGTTTGGAAGAGAGAAATACATTTTCCACCAATTTTGTATTAAAATGGAAGTTTATTTCAACTGTGTTCAGATTTAAATAATTTAGAATATTAAAACCAAGCAGAATCTGTGGGTGAAGTGTTATAAAAAAAATATTGAATGCTTTATCTCGTGGTGAAGTAAAACTAACCTCCCTCGGTGATCCATGGAGCATTCTATTTTCCCTCGGCTTCGCCTCGGGAAAATAGAATGTCCATGGACCACCTCGGGAGGCTAGTTTTACTACACCACTCAAAGCATTCAATATTTGTATACTACAGATTTGTCACCTCTGTACGTACCGCATTATCGGCACTATTCTCATCGCATACGCGTAAGCTTTTCTATGATTCTGTGCCAAAGTGACGTGGTTTGGTGAGTGCGGACTCAGAGTTAATTATGGATTAAAAATAAGTAAAATTTCACGAATGAAAAAGGTTTATAAATGGACGAATACGCAACGAAAACTGAAAAGGCCTAGTTTTAGGATATACCACGTGCGCTGCACACATCGTGCATGCGCGGTGCTAGCCCGTAGTTCAGCAGTTGTTTATTGTGCATGTGGTGTACGTTGGAAATTTCACACGATCTACACGCCTGAAAACGTGTTTCTTCGTTCATAAGACCGCAACATTTTCATGCCACTCATGCACTGGGCGGATGATGACAGGTCAAATTGCCGGATCAGATCCACCTTTTGCGTTCCCATCTGATCGTGATCCGCCAATTGCAGGATCTGATCCACCAATTGGGGGATCTGTATCCTGCTCCAGAGGTGGATCAAGAAAGGTGGATCTGATCCTGATCCACCTTATAACGGTTAGCGTTCCCACTACACACAATTGCCGGATCTGATCCACCAATTAGGGGATCTGATCCGGCAATTTGGCAAAAGGTGGATCAGATCCCCCAATTGCTGGATCAAGTGGGAACGGGGTCTAAATAAGGGAATAAATGTGTTTTTGGGAGGTGTTAAACACTATGTTGACTGGTTGGAGTCTGGAATGCTGATAATTACCCGAGGCGAAGCCGAGGGTTATTACATGTTATCAGCATTCCAGACTCCAACCAGTCTTTAACATAGTGTTTAATACCGACCAAGCACGTATTTATTCCCATTCATAGTACCTTTTCGGTAACAAATCAAAACCTTTTGGTCCAAAACTCAAAACAACGATTTTGTTCAACAATTTTACTTTCTGTTTTTCAAAACACTCCTCTAGCTATATAATGGAGTGTCCAGCTTGCGAGATAAGACGTAAACAACTCCTTTTATGGAGATTGGCGTGCATACTGCGGGATGACGCGCAGATGCAGCAGTGGTGAGTGCGTTGTGAATTTAGGACTATGCAATACTGACTCACTGGTAGTATTGCGCATGCCTACGTGAGGATTGTGAACATTCAACCAATAAGATGGTAAAATGCATGGGATTTCAAAGGAGTCAAATTTCATGTGACACTGGAAAAGTGTTTAAGACCAAGCCAGCCATGTCTTAATCATCTGTTTTAAAAGACCGGCCACGTGACGGGCTCTCGACCAATGGGAATGGGTAAACTGTCTTAGGTATTTATGAATACTATTTCATTGTAAAGTCAGAATTTATTCTTAGGTCTTTCTTTCATTTTCTTTATTCATAGCTGACAGTTATGTGTAACACACCAGGATGGTGGGACTATTCACTCGCAAATCACCAATGATGCTGCTGGAGTTTTCAGGACAAGACTGAGTGTGACTAGGAATTTGGAATATTGATCAGTACACTGCATGCAAACATGGAAGGATTTCAAGCTGGCAAAAAATACTTTTCTCCCCGTCTACTGGATTATATATTAATTGTGGGAAGTCGCCATCCATATAGCAACAATAATGTTGCACAAACACCAGAAATGCTACGTCGTTACCCTCAAGATGACCACCCAGATTTTCCGTTACCTCAAGATGTTGTGTTCTTTTGTCAGCCAGAAGGTTGCCTCACAGTTGGACAGAAGAAATTGAGCCTCAGAGAAAACACATCCTTTGTTTTTACTTTGACTGATAAAGACAGCGGAAGAGCAAGATATGGTATTTGTGTCAACTTCTATCGGCCCTTTAAATCCTCTGATAGAAAGATGGAACATCAGAATGAAAAGGCTTTGCATAACGACAGAGAGAATTCCAACAGAAATGGAACTCTAAGTGTGCCCTCAGATGAAGGACAAAGGAAAAGGTCACCAAGAACTCGTAGAAAACTCAAGCAGGCCAAGAAAGTTCGCAATAATTCCCTGACATCACTGTGCATACTGAGTCATCATCCTTTCATCTCTACCTTCAGAGAGTGTCTGTTCATCCTAAAGCGGCTTATTGATTCCTGTAATGACAGAACATGCAGTCGAAAAGTAGGTGGCTCCAAAGGATCATTAAGGTGAGGTTGTTGCAAAATCTTATGTTGAAATCAAATCTTGAGAGAACTGCGTATACATATACAGTATGTTCATGTCAATCACAATATTTGCCTCAAAGAAAGTGTACCATACTTCAACTTGTATGCTCCTGGTTATGTTTCGTTATTGACTTACATGTACCAGACAATAAAAACCAAAGAAGTTTTGAAACACTTACCTAACGCACAATACAAATTGATGAAAATTAACATACATGGGTCATTCCGTGTCAATTCAACACAATTTTGGACCTGACCTTCACAGATTGAAACGATATTTGGTGTGCTGAATGGCTTACATGTATATGAGAAACCCCTTAAACTGAATTTATTTGTAAATTGGTTCGTTAGTTTTTGAGATACAGTCCACGAACTTTTGACTAATTAGCATGACCTCCGAACTTTAAATACTTTTATCTCAAAATCTAGCACCTACAAAGCCAAGTTGTACATCATATTAAAGCTCTTTGAATGGCCTCCATTTCATAAAATAAAACCAAAATCGTAGCATGAGAGAAAATGCGTAACGAAATGACCTTTGACCTTGAATTGCGAAAATCAATATGCTTCAGATTTCGTAATTTTTTTTCAAAAAATGTTAGTTTATGATGTCAGCAACAATCTTAAAAAAAATTGGGATGGGCGCTCTTAAAGTTTTGAAGTTATAATTTTTAAAGATGGCATGTCCGGGAAAAAACCTAATTTGCATATTTTTTAAATGTACATACTGCTTGTGCACATTAATCACTGCCCTTTAAAACCCTAATATGTTGTGTCCATTGTTTATGCAGCATCTTGCTACATGTACATGTAGCTCTATAGTGGCGTAACTATGGGGGTAGCAGGGAGGGGATGGGGGGGGGGTGGGGAGGGGGGGCACGTGTCTCCCAGTACAAGTACAATGTAGGTGCCTTGCACCAAGATGTCTATCGGCCCTCCCCCCCCCCCCCCCCTTTGAATCTTGAATTGAAAAAAATATCATTTGGCACATACATGTATATCAATTGCCTCATATATTATTTTGAAGTGCGATATCCCTTGAAAAATGTAAGGCAACCCATGTGGGCCCCCCCCCCCTTCTCGACCAGAAATTTAACCCTACTGTCTCTAGTATTGCACACTTGGCTTTCAAAATGAGATGGGCAAGTTCTAATCACATTCATTGAACAACCAACATGGTGACACCCAGCTCAAACAGTTCACACTGAAGGGGGGGGGGGGGATATGGGGGCACCGGGGATATGGATCCACTTGGGGACACACGCCTCCACAAGTGATACCCCCCTAGTTCCACCACTATCTAGAGCTAGCAAGATACTGTATTTAAACATTTGAAACATAACATTAGGGATAGGACTAACAAGGACAAGTATTTACAGGTCAACTTGCACTTGCTGTATGTACAAGTACGTGTGTTAATATGCAAATTAGGGATTTTCCTGGACATGCTATTTAATAAAAACTAGAGGTTGTAGGAACAACCACACGGTGTTGGGCCATTGACTACCGCAAACTTTTCCACACAAATCAACTCCAAATGCCTGTTTTAATCCATGTTTAACTTAGTCAGGGCGTCCATTGTCAACTTCACATTTCAAGGGGGCTGCAGGACATCTCAAAGTTCACTTATTGCCACGAAACATGGGGAAGTTTTAGACCTATTTCTAAACTGCCATTTAACCGACAAATCGAGATTAAATCCCCCAGGGTTAATTTTCCAGGAATTTTCAAAGGAAAAGAGGTCTTTTCCTTCTAACTTTCAGTCTGATGACGTAATCAATTTTTTTTCGCGCACAGGTCTTGTCTGCATTAAGGTTATCATGTATACATCATTTTGAGGCGATTACCGCAAATTTTGCCACAGACATCCACTGAGAATGCGTTTTGGACATTTTTTAACCTGCGGCTAGAGGGCGATCGAACTAATCGTGGTGTCACCGATCATTTTTTTTTTAAAGGTCAACACATTGAGACACTAACATTGTTGAAAGCAAGTTCATATTTTTTATTACCTTCAAATTATTAAGCACTTCCGGTTTCGACAGGAAGGAAGGGTTACATGATTTCACGCGCAGGAGATGAAATGAAGATCATGTATCATCATGTCTATTCCCGCAAAATTCAAGTTCTGGTCTCTCACTGTTGATTTTATATTGAATTTCAAAGATTAAATTTATTATTTTCTGAAGTGACGTCACGTGACCCATGATGACGTCATGATGACGTAATTGCAAAAAAGCACATCTTTAGTGGGTTATGCATTCATGTATTGACAAATGAAGTTCATGTGGGTTTTGATTTTGACAATCAGTTCTGGAAATGAATTTGCAAATTTTGCATTGAAGAATAGTCAACGAATACAAAAATACACTAGAGTTTGAGGACAAACACAAGGTGTTGGGCTAGAGGTATGGCTTTTTCGCGTTGCTGATTATTGTTGTTGATTGTTGATGTTGGTTGTTGATGTTGATTGTTGATTGTTGATTGTTGATGTTGATGTTGATTTTGATTGTTGATTATAGTTGATGGTAGTTGTTCATGTTGATTGTTGATTGTTGATAATTGATTGTTGATATTCATTGACAATTATTGATGTAGTTTGCTGATGATTGTTGATGTTGATTGTTGATGTTGATGTTTTTTTGTTAATGATTGTTGATGTTAATTGTTTATTGTTGATGGAGATTGTTGATGTTGATTACTGATGTTGGTTATTGATGTTGAATGTCAGATTGTTGATGTTAATTGTTGATAGTTGATGTTGATTGTTGATGTTGATTGTTGACTGTTGATGTTGATTGTTGATGTTGCTGTTGATTGTTGATGTTAATGTTGATTTTTGATTGTTGATGTTGATTGTTGATGTTGATTGTTGATGATGCTGTTGATTGTTGATGTTGCTGTTGATTGTTGATGTTGATGTTGATTGTTGATGTTGATGTTGATTGTTGATGTTGATTGTTGATGTTAATGTTGATTGTTGATGTTGATGTTGATTGTTGATGTTAATGTTGATTGTTGATTGTTGATTGTTGATGTTGATTGTTGATGTTGATTGTTGATGTTGCTGTTGATTGCTGATTGTTGATGTTGATTGTTGATGTTGATTGTTGATGCATGATGTTAATGTTAATGTTGATTGTTGATTAATTGTTGTTGATTGTTGATGTTGATGTGGAGGGTTGACGGTTGAAAAATAGCATGTGGAGTAATTCTACAGAGGATAGTTAAAAAGAGTCAGGTGAGGATCTGCATGCGCGTATGCGGCTGTACTGTAAACTAAACTAGTGCAATTGTTAAAAAAAACCATTAAATAGCTCCAAAAGTAAAGGTCACACCATTGGCGCAATACAAGATATTGCTCGCCATACCCTCTTTACCCTAATGCGCATGTTTTTAGAAAAAAAACGCCAAATTAAAAAAGCGCCCAATTGGGCACTTTTGCCAGCCCAATTTTTGAGTATCATATGACGGGAAGTTCCTGCAGCACTGTTTTTCGGGATTTTCCCTTTGTACGCAATTATCCCCATTTGCTGTACACACAATGTACGTGGCATTAAATGAGCGTTTCAATGCGTAGGCGTGTTCAACTGCGAATTTCAAGGGGGCTACAGGGCCTCTTGTAATTAATTTATTGTAACAAAACCTTGGGAAGTTTTAGACCTATTATTAAAGTGCCATTTAAAGAACAAAACTTGATTATATCACTGACTGTTGATTTTTTAGCAATTTTCATAGGAAAAGAGGTCGTTTGATTGTAACTTCCGGTCTGATGATGTAATCAATTTTTTTCGCGCACAGGTGTTGCCTGTATTAACCCTAACCCTCCAGGGTATTTTGGCTAGAAACCCTGCCAAACGCAGCAACATGCAACACTTGTCTAAGTGACAAGCCTGCCCAGTGTAGCAAGATCCATCAGGTCAAAAGTCTCAAGGCCAAACTGCCTCAGAGTCTGTTGTCCCCCAACGCAGCAGGATACAACTCGGGCATTGTTCCATGGGACTAGCCCTCAGTGTCTCAGAAGTGGCCGGTTTCTGCACTGGTGTTGGTAGCATTTTCCATCAAAGTGCACCAGACTTTTCCACCTGATACACTGTGCTGCGTCTGGCAGGGTTAGGGTTAAGGTCATCATTTATATGAATTTTAAAGCGGTTACCGCAAATTTCGCCACAGACATCAACTGAAAATGCGTTCTTGAAATTTTTTAACCTGCCGCTAGAGGGCGCTCCAACACTTCATGATGTCACCGATTATTTGTTTGAAAGGTCAATCCAGGCAGACACTAACATCGTTAAAAGCAAGTTCATATCTTTTTCCACTTTCAAAATATTTGGCACTTCTGGTTTCGACTGGAAGCAATTGTCACGTGATTTGACGCACGCAAGATTAAATGAAGATCATATATTATCATGTCAATTATCAACAATTCAAGTTCTGGTCTCTCATGGTTGATTTTATATTGAATTTCAAAGATTAAGTTTATTATTTTTTTAAGTGACGTCACGTGACCCATGATGACGTCATGATGACGTAATTCAGGGGTTTTCCTTAACTTTTTCCTTTACTGGCCAGCCGGGCCAGTAAACCAGAGTTTTCACTGGCCCGCAACCTTTTTCACTAGCCCACATGTTTTAATAGTAACTTTCAATCAAATCACCATAAGCATTTTTGATAACATTTTTGATAATCAATTATGCAATATGAATACAATCGGCAATTATCTTAATCATGTACATAATATTGCATGTAGTTCCTTTTTAAGTGATGTCAATGTTTCTTTAATCGTCCATGCTTTAACATAGAGCAAGGCTTTAATTAACAGGAATCAAATAGGGGGAGAAGTTATAATCAAAATTTATACAGTGTGCTTCGTTCCGAACTTAAGGGTTTAGGTGTTCTATTTCCGACATGTTTTGATAAAACACGAACTAAAAAAGCGTTATCTTGAGGAACAAGAAAACATTGCACACAGTCGTGGTATTAATGGGAGTTTACCAAGTTAGTAACTGAACTGTTTTAACTTGTTTGAAAATGAGTGAGAAGGCCAGTATTTTCAAAAAAACATCTCTCGCGCGCGCCATGCATTTCTAGCGAAGAATGGTGCAATCAGCGTGCCTAGCCAAGAAGCGCTGCGGGTGGGCGACCCACGAACTTACGCTGGTCACGTCAATCCATAACGTTTTCCGGAGCACGGTCCACTTTACATTCACTAGTCCTTACATTCAAAATAGGCCCCTCGAATCTCATATTGTCCTCATCTTTTCGGTACATTCGTTTGATAGTGTTCAAGAAATCATCCCAAGAATCCGTTCGGGCACAAGTTTTGGCAGACTGTCATGAAAGTTTTCTCCTCACCTAGTTGTATGATACGAATACGATGTTAACGTACGTACGTCCGTACCATGTGGACTGCAGACGAAGTAAATCACGTGCGCTGCATGTGTGCACAATGTGTAATGGCAAATACACGTTGATTCGCCTCATGTTCGTCGTTGGGATTTCAATGCACAGCGCACTGCGAATATACATGGAGTGATACGAATTTGAACTACCGATGTTTTTATTTCGGTCGGCGTAGCAAAAGTATTCATGTGTTGTATCACCCTTAACTTTTTATTTTGATTGATTGAAAAATACTGTAGGGAAAACTTCGTTATTTTTATTTTTTTAACAGTTTTTTGACTCGCCCGTCGGACTACTGAGAGGAGGGTTTTGACTCGCCCGCCGCTGTTTTCACTCGCATTTGGCGAGCGGGCGACCGCTAAGGATAATCCCTGGTAATTGCAAAAAAGCACATCTTCAGTGGGTTGTGCATTCATGTATTGACAATTGAAGTTCATATATGTTTCCATTTTGACAGACAGTTCCGGAGAAGAATTTGCTGAGGAGAACAATAATAATAGTAAATTCATACAATAACAATAGGTGAGCCCAACACCTATAATTATAACTTAAAAAGTTTAAGAGCGCCCATCCCAATTTGTTTAAAAGATTGTTGCTGACATCATAAACTAACATTTGAAAAATTTTTTTGAAGCATATTGATTTACGTAATTCAAGGTCTAAGGTCATTTTGTTACGCATTTTCTCCGCTCTTCATGCTACGATTTTGGTTTTATTTATGAAATGGAGGCCATTCAAAGAGCTTTAATATGATGTACAGCTTGGCTTTGTAGGTGCTATAGTTTTTTTAGATACAAGTATTTAAAGTCCAGAGGTCATGCTAATTAGTCAAAAGTTCCTTGACCCGTATCTCAAAAACTAATGAGACAATTTACAAAAAAAAAAAAATTAGTTCTGGGGGTTTTCTCTAGTTATAGGCCAATCATCACACCAAATATCGTTTCAATCTGTGAGGGTCGGGTCCAAAATCGTGTTGAATTGACACGGAATGACCCACGTTGTACATGTAACTGCTGATTGTGGATCTATCATCTGGAAAACTTTAAATGATTGGGTAGATTGGCTATCATGCATGCAAAAGGCATTGACTCTTGAGGCTGGGGCAGTGGTAGTCTTGGCCCAAGACCCTAGTGATCGATAGTGGACGGTGCAAAGTGTGCCCTCTAATGGCACAACAATTGGACCAGTGGGCCTACTCACACTAAAGTCTTGGCCATTTTGTATCAGCGGTTTAACTTTTTCTTTATTTTCTCCCTAGGCTTTCCTAGGGAACCAATCAGCGATCGAGAAATGTTTCCAATGCGCCCGCGCCTGATGGTTGCAAACATTCGAGCTATACGTGCGTTGAGATGGTTGTAAACATACAGGCTATATAAGTACCGTACAGTACATGCGGTGAACCAGCATCATGAAACCAATCAGCGAACGAGAAATTAATCAATTTGCGGTGCACATGAGCAACCATCATTGCTAATTATGCAACACAGTGATACCCTCGCGCGAGGGCGTGACTACTGCGGCAAATGGCGTTAAAAAACTGCCGTTTTGTTTGAATTTATTCAAATGATTCTATTTACATAAAATGGCCACGCCCCATTGCTACAAAATGACCCAAGACGTTTGTGAGAGAAAGTAAAAAATCAATTATGCAAGGGCGCTACAGAACATTGCAACTATCGCTCTTGATCACTGACGTCTTGGGCCAAGACTAGGGCAGTGGTGGATGACTTCTACAATATGTACACGTATAGTCATCACATGACAAAATTGTCATATCAGAGCTCACCATTGACCACCTCTGTTTTGAACGATGAACTTAAAAAGAATATTGTACTGTGGGCCTGTAGTCTTTGGCCGTCACCAATCAACAAAATGTTTTAAAACAAATTGAAGGATCGTACAATGCATACCAGTACATCATTAATGAAAACATTCTTGGCAAATGCTTTCGCAGTCGGTCGTCTTGCGGCGATCCAAGAATTTCACCTCTCACACCGCAGTACGAATGCCCCCGTCAGTCCCTCTTAATCATTACCTCGAGTTCCGAAAACCAACGCAATAGAACCGAGGTCCTATTCCATTATTCCATGCTCTGCTGTCCAGGCGGTCGGCCTGCTTTGAACACTCCAATTTTTTCAAAGTAAACGTTTCGGCCGCGCTCGGCACTCAGTCAAGAGAACCGGGCGGAGACCGAGAGGAAGGCCAGGCTGGCAGTGGCGCGCCTTGCGGCGGACCGCCAGCCTGCGCCCAAGATCCAACTACGAGCTTTTTAACTGCAGCAATTTTAATATACGCTATTGGAGCTGGAATTACCGCGGCTGCTGGCACCAGACTTGCCCTCCAATAGATCCTCGTTAAAGGATTTAAAGTGTACTCATTCCAATTACAGGGCCTCGAAAGAGTCCTGTATTGCTATTTTTTGTCACTACCTCCCCGTGTCGGGAGTGGGTAACATTCTGAACTTCATGTAACTGATTTGTATGTTTTTTGTTTAATTTTTTTGTATTCTTTTAAATTGTTTTCATCAGTTTTATTTAGTTTTATTATGCCCCGCGGCGAAGCCGAAGGGGCATACTGTTTCCGCCTTGTCCTTCCGTGGGTGGGTGTGTGGGTGGGTGGGTGTGTGTGTCCGGACAAATCTTGTCAGCAAGATAACTTGAGAAATACTTAACATATGAACTTCAAATTTGGTCTGTGTATTGTTCTTGGTAATCCTAAGAGGCCTATTGCATTTGAGGCCGAAAGGTCAAGGGTCAAGGTCACAGTGGCTGAAACAAAAGAAATTTTGTCAGCGCGATAACTTGAGAAATACTTTACATATGAACTTCAAATTTAGTTTGTGGATTGTCCTTGGCAATCCTAAGAAGCCTTTTGCATTTGGGGCCAAAAGGTCAAGGGTCAAGGTCACAGTGGCTGAAACAATAGAAATTTTGTCAGCGCGATAACTTGAGAAATACTTTACATATGAACTTCAAATTTGGTTTGTGGATTGTCCTTGGTAATCCTAAGAAGCCTATTGCATTTGGGGCCAAAAGGTCAAGGGTCAAGGTCACATTGGCTAAAACAAAAGAAATTTTGTCAGCGCGATAACTTGAGATATACTTTACATATGAACTTCAAATTTGGTTTGTGGATTGTCCTTGGCAGTCTTAAGAAGCCTATTGCATTTGGGGCCAAAAGGTCAAGGGTCAAGGTCACAGTGGCTAAAACAATAGAAATCTTGTATTTATTCTGAGATCATAGGGATTAGGGTTTAATTCATATAAAACCTACAGAAGACACTAATGCTGTCAATTAATGAACGTTTCATGTGACCAAGGTACATGTAAGTTGATGTTAAAAGAGTGGTGTTATGTCATAGGAACAGTCACGGTTGCGGGGCATTTGTGTTTGTAAACACACCTGACTTGTTCATCTTTTATTGATATGATGTTTAAGTAATTTTTATCATTCTATGATGTATTTTTGGCGAGTTGCGAAGCAGATGTGAGCCTATGTAATACCAATTTCCGTCCGTCCATACGTACGGCTGTACGTACCTACGGCTGTACGTACATGTACATCCGTCTGTCCGGCCGTCCGCATTCAGATAAAATGTTGAAGTTTTTGGTTTTAGCCAAGTTCGGCTATTTTTAGTTCGGTTTGGCAGTTCGGCTGCAGCACTAGGTGTGAACTACATGTAGGATGCATTTCCTTAACGTACTATGTATATTTAGAAACTTGTATGTTTTGAATTGTTATTACAGAGATTGTGTATGGGGTGTTTTGACTGGCATATGCAGTGACATACCTCCTCTTGTCAGACATGATGTTCGTCAGATCGAAACATGGATACTGCGTTTTCTGAGTGCTCCAGTTCCTGTTCCAGGGAAAACACGTGTAGAAATACAAGTCCTGGATACACAACCACCCATGGTATTTGCTTTGCCAGATCACACACGCTTCTCACTGGCAGATTTTCCACTTCACTTACCTCTGGAATTGCTTGGAGTGGATACTTGTCTCAGGGTCCTCACTCTTATCATGCTAGAGAACAAGGTACAGTATTAGTCCGCTCAATTTAGAACAAAACAGGGCCTGACCTAAAACAAATTGCGATATAATCTGTTTTAATGCTTTCACGCTAAGGAAATACATGTATCACTATTTAACATACTAAAGATCTAATTTCATCAAAGTAGTAAAAAAATGCTTTAATTCACTTTTTATGCCCCGCGGCGAAGCCGAAGGGGCATACTGTTTCCGCCTTGTCCTTCCGTGGGTGTGGGTGTGGGTGGCTGGGTGTGTGTGTGTGTGTCCGGACAAATCTTGTCAGCACGATAACTTGAGAAATACTTAACATATGAACTTCAAATTTGGTCTGTGTATTGTTCTTGGTAATCCTAAGAGGCCTATTGCATTTGGGGCCGAAAGGTCAAGGGTCAAGGTCACAGTGGCTGAAACAATAGAAATTTTGTCAGCGCGATAACTTGAGAAATACTTTACATATGAACTTCAAATTTGGTTTGTGGATTGTCCTTGGCAATCCTAAGAAGCCTTTTGTATTTGGGGCCGAAAGGTCAAGGGTCAAGGTCACAGTGGCTAAAACAAAAGAATTTTTGTCAGCGTGATAACTTGAGATAAACTTTACATATGAACTTCAAATTTGGTTTGTGGATTGTCCTTGGCAATCCTAAGAAGCCTATTGCATTTGGGGCCGAAAGGTCAAGGGTCAAGGTCACAGTGGCTAAAACAAAAGAAATTTTGTCAGCGCGATAACTTGAGAAATACTTTACATATGAACTTCAAATTTGGTTTGTGTATTGTTCTTGGTAATCCTAAGAAGCCTATTGCATTTGGGGCCGAAAGGTCAAGGGTCAAGGTCACAGTGGCTGAAACAATAGAATTTTTGTCAGCGCGATAACTTGAGAAATACTTTACATATTAACTTCAAATTTGGTTTGTGGATTGTCCTTGGTAATCCTAAGAAGCCTTTTGCATTTGGGGCCAAAAGGTCAAGGGTCAAGGTCACAGTGGCTAAAACAATAGAAATCTTGTATTTATTCTGAGATCATAGGGATTAGGGATTAATTCATATAAAACCTACAGAAGACACTAATGCTGTCAATTAATGAACGTTCCATGTGACCAAGGTACATGTAAGTTGATGTTAAAAGAGTGGTGTTATGTCATGGGAACAGTCACGGTTGCGGGGCATTTGTGTTTGTAAACACACCTGACTTGTTTGCTACTAATTTTTCATCATCCGTAAACAGCTGTATGGAGTGGTCATGTTTTCTTTCGCGTCCGTTACCCGTCAGAAAATCCGTTCATATCACGTACATGTATGAGATTTCGCGAGACACGACTAATCACAGCAGATGACTTTTCTATGTCCAGCAAGTATTATAATTGATGATAATTTACACTGCCTCGCAAAACTAAAGGATGTTGTCTTGAAAAAATCAGGAAATTTGAGATTTGATTACTGCCTGAATTATTTATTGGTTAAAATAAATCACTCTGTGCTCAATAAACCTAGCCCAGGTTGGACGAAGTCTTCATTGCATTACGACTAACGTCCAGGATGAGAATTCTCTACATAAGACCACCCAAAATTTGGACCAGATTTTTGTTACGTTTTACCTCGTTACAGAAGCTTATTTCACGACTACATTTTCTATGTGTCCTTACCTATTGGGCCGCTGGGTTCAGGAATTCCATATTTGATGCTGACCGACATTAATCAGGAAAATAAACTCTAAAGCAGCGTTAAACTTGTACGTGTTTGTAGTCTCTTTTCATCAGTTTATTCCCAGAGTCGTACGTCATGTACAATGTACATGTACGTGCGTACGAAAGCGCGCATGCACGCTAGCGCCCTCATTTGTTTAGTTTTGGTTGGAACCGTGACGTCACTCCAGCCAACCGATGTCACGAAAACGCTTAACCAATGACCAAAGCCAAAACGTGTTTCTGGTAACTGGCGCGAAAACACGCTCGGTCATTGGATTAGCGACCGTGCCTTCAAGTAAGTGCGCGTGCGTATGAGGGTGGTTACTAAGCAAATCGCACTGCATATATACTAAGCGTGCGCACTGCATATTCATGCTGCATAGTCTGGCCCCCGGACCAGACGTGATATGAGCGTCGAGAATAATTGTCCGGTCTAGGGAACCAGACTACACGCTGCACAGACGTACATCATGTACGACTAGAATAGACTCGGCGGTGAGAAACTGATGAAAAGAGTCTACAAACACGTACATTGTACAAGTTTAACGTTGCTTTCGAGTTTATTTTCCAGATTAAGGTCGGTCAGCATTGCATGAACCCAGCGGCCCAATAGATAAGGACACATAGAATACTACGACGTAAAAATTGGCTTCTCCAACAAGGTAAAAATATTGAAAATATCGGTCATAATTTTTTTCGCCCAGTTTTGAGCACTTCATACCCTGGACTCCCTCCGTTACGTAGGGAGGAAAGGGAGTCCACCTGGGCTACAATAAACCATTTGTTTTTAAAAGGGAAAATCTTTGCATAAACAGGTCTACTTCAAACAAGGGCGGGAAATGATATATACACAAAGAGATCCATTTAAAGTTTAAATTTCAGGTGTCTACGCCCATAGGCCAGAATCCAATTTTAAATATTAGGGAAAATATCCGAAATCCAAGATTCGTGTGTTCCATTTGTGATGAATTTAGGTCATCGGCATAACTTATAAATAACATAAACTGTCCAAAAAAAATGAATGTATTCTCAAAAAACCTCAATGTTGACAAATTTATGACATTAAAATCTTGCAGCGAAAATTTAGCTGAATTCTGGGCTTTAGAGAAAAGAAGTTAGGCAGTGTGACAAGTGTATTACCTTCTACAAATAATAAACATGCCCCCAAATCAAAGCCTTAGGCCGGGGGGGGGGGGGGGGGACCGTGCCATTGAGATCATTTCTTTAAAGTATCCTCGTGTGACCATTATTCGCGCACTTAGTACTTTGACAAACTTTTTACTGAATAAATTAAACCGTACACAGTTTTCAACTTACATTGTAAACACTACTAATAAAGTACGTGGAAAAAAAATTTGCACAATTTCGAATATCACGAAAGCACCAAGAGTGTTGTCGTCTGCAGACGAGTCAAATTGGTTGCCACAAAAGTTACGTTATAGAGAATGGACGAGGAACTGTAGATTCGTGCTAAGAATGGACGAGGCGAAGCCGAGTCTATTCATGCACGCATCTACAGTTCCGAGTCTATTCTCTGACTTAACCTATTTCTTAAAACAACAGTAATTTATGCAAATAAGATCCCTGGTTTACCACATTTGTGAATAAGTGTAAATTCGTACAATCTAGTCAACTTTGCCTGGCCCTGTGCATGCATCGTAACAAGATTCTATTGTTAACCCTTCGGATGGGTGCACATCTTTTGTTCCATTCATCAATTGCACAGAACATTTGACCTCATGGTAAGTCTCACACATTCACGATCAGAAGTGTTTAGTGCGAACACACTGTCTTTCCTTACTCCCAAAGCCAAATGGATGCCGCGTTTGTATGTTACAGCTGGGGGATTATACCGGAAAATACTTTGATGCTGTTTTTTTTTCGGGATTGATCTGAGGAGTTTAAAACACCCACCACAAGAAAAAGTTGGAAAGCAACTCATTTGTGCATAGAGCTTTTTGATTTGTGGAACCACATGTCATTGGCCATTCAATCAAGAACCACATTTCTTTACCTTGATGAGTAGGCTACACATCGGAATATGCCCATCTCACTCACCACAGGAAATAATTTTGCTTGGAAAATACATTAGGCCTACATTTGAATATATTCTGAGACGTATATGACTGGGTAAGTTTCATTTTATTTCGTTAGTTATTCGTCCATTTTATTTATGATTGTCATTTTGATAATGAAAGATGTGTACATATTCTTTAACAGAGGGGTATCCACTGATTTTTTTTATAATGCAAATTTAAAGCATTAACATATATAGATAATAATATAAAAATAAAAAGTAACACTTAAAATAAAAATAAAGGGAACTGCAAATAACAGAAAGAGGAATATTTTACACTGCGCTTTAGGTTAAAATTTATAATCGCCACTGTACATGTATATTATATTAAAAATATAAGCACGGCAAATTAAAAATCACACGAGAACATTTTGTGTAAAAATTAAAAAAATTAAAAAAGTAAAGTATTTATTAAAATCAGGTACACGTCAAATTCTTTCGGAAAAAAAATTGTACATTTTTGAGTACCATTAACATTTCTTTTTCTTTTCATTATAATGGACTGAAACTTAAAAAAGGAATTCTTTAGTGCTGGAATTATACATGGAATTTACAGTGCTGGAATATACATGGAATTGTTCACAACAAAAACTGTGGATTCTTAAAATAATCTACAGTAAAGTGTAGATTCGTGAAAATAATCTACACTTTTAACAATATAGGGTGACGTCACAGAAATAGGTTAAGTGCTCATAATTCACGCACGAATGGTAAACATTCTACGAAGTCTCCACTGTGTCCTACTGAACATACGGTGGCTCAAAAAAAATTTGAATCAAGGATAACTTTTTGTGCAAAAATTTGGTCTGTGGTTTGATAAACATACTTTTATTTGCCATCAGACATTGTTAAAGATGTAGTCCATCATTTTTAATTTGTGCATTTTGTTCGTTTGAAGCCACAAAAGTGCTCAAAATCTGAAGAAGGGTACTGAACAACTAACCTGATGAAGTTTCAGCTGAGCTTCAGCTGTATATTCCGAGAAAAACAGCATTCTAGGATCTCAATTTCAAATCAAAAGTTGCTGAATCATGGTTTGAATTGGGCCTGCATCCAGCGTCTGAGACACATTCTCACTGAGCCCATTGCAGCTACATGATGTCGCGCACTGATAGGACGAATTATAGCAATCGCGCGTGTGTGTGCGTCATGCCAATACTTGCACGCGCTTCGCCGAATAACAAAACGAACTACTAATTTAAATTTCTTACGGTGCGTCTTAAGAAGCGCCGTTGGAAAGGCCTTCTTTCGTTGATTACTTCAAAATGACAGCTTGCCAGAAAGAATAATTTCACAGGGAGTTTAGTCCCCTTACTATCTTTCAACCAAGTATGTTTTTCAACAATAATAACACGAGTTACTTTTCGGATAGCTGTAAATGATGGACTATAGCTTTAAGCATAGATATATCGATATTACCCCAATTATTCTGTAGTATTTTGATACATGTATATATCAGTATCGCTGATAGCAATTTTTACCCCTCAGCCGAGAGGCTCGAGGGGTATTGTCATCACCTACGGCGTCCATCCGTATGTCCGGACAGCTTAGTTTCGGGATGATAACTTGAGTTAGAAATGTTGTTTGGGATTGTAACTTTGGTAGGGGGTTGCCCTTAGGAGTAGGCAAATTGGGATTGGTTTTGAGGTCAAAAGGTCAAAGGTCAAGGTCACTGTGGCGAGTTAAAGGTAAATGGTTTCTGGATGATAACTTGAGTTAGAAATGTGATTTTGGTGTCTAACTTTGGTAGGGAAATCCCTTGGGAGTAGGCAAGTTGGGATTGGTTTTGAGGTCCAAAGGTCAAAGGTCAAGGTCACAGTGTCGAGTTAAAGGTTAATGGTTTCCGGATGAGGGGTTGAGGGGGTGCCGTTTGCCAAGAATGATGCAATAAACGTCCAAATTTATTCATGTACAAATAATTTAGTCATAAGAAATAATTTGTTAATATGGTCCTAAGCATTTTATATTTTAATCTGTATTTCTTATCTTGAATGGCTGAGGGGTTTCAACAGCAACGCTGTTATTTTTTAATCATATCGAAATTTTCGATATTGAGGAATGATATCGAAAATGAGTCAGATTATTGTCAGAATATATCTCCCGTTTGTGCTTTTACTTTATGTTTAACGTTGCTGTAGGAAATAAAACTTGGCAGCAACTTGTGCTTGTGACAATCCGCCTTACTTTGTTCTCTGCGTTCGCTGGAATTTGCGGTCTCTCCCAATGTAAAACCTCAAAAGAAACTGCCCATTCTGGACAAATTGTCAGTGCTGAGATTTGTTTAAAAAGTAAGAGTAATATGCCCCAGATAAAGCCGTGGATAATTGGGACTTAAGATTGTTTGTTTGGGGTTTTTTTGGCTTGAAGCAGTGCTGTTGTTTGTTTTTCCCCACATTTTCTCGCTGGTAACTCCCGGCGGTGTAATTGATTAAAATAAAAATTTGAGCATTGCACTCCAGAAAAAGGCGTGGGAATTGGGAGTTTATCTTTTTTTGGTTTGAAGAAGTTCCGTTGTCTGATACTATTTTCCCACATTGTCTCCGTCGCCGGTAATAAAAACTTGAGCAATGTGGTCTGGAGAGAGCCGTTTCAGTTGTTTAAAAATTTTTTTACAGAAGATACCTTACCCATAAATTGATTTTGAAGGTTTTTTAGTTCAACCGTATAAGTTACTAAATTGTGTTTCGGATTATAGTTACGGAACTACATGCATACATGTACAGTTGTATACAACACTGAAGAAGGCAAACTTTTGAAATTGCTCCCTTCTGCATTAAAATACAATATTGTGATATAGCTTCTTGTGTATATTTTATTATACTTATCCTGCATTTGATACAGGTTCTGCGTGTATTCCCCCACCCCGTATAATATAAATATGTATATTTCACTATTAGTCAATTATTTTTAGCCATTTTTCGGGGACAGACAGACTGACCGACCGACCAACCGCCAAGTAACATGTAGTTCTAAACTCCTGCCATAACTTAAACACCATGGTACCTATTATCTAAAAAGGTTGCAAAAGAGTGTCATAGGATGAACCTTGAATGAAAGCTCTTGTACATGTACATTGTACAATGTTGTTTGAAAATTACAATGAACCTTATGGCGTTTTTGGAATTAATTCATAATCAATTGAGGAACTATCGCACAGAGGAAGTGCACTTGCACGAACAGTGCCTTGCCAACATTGTGTACATGTACTGTACACGTATGAAAACAATGCACAGCAATGTTTTGCCAAGAAAACTAATGCTAACTCAATTAAATTTTGACGATTATGTATGAGGTACAGTAAAACAAATATGAGGTACAGTAAAACAAATATGACATGGTTTACTTCAGGTGCATAGTCGATATTAGCTTAAGAAGTTGATATCATTAAGAAGTTGACAAATTAGTTCCTGAGGCAAAGCCAATTAGTTTGTCAACTTTGAATACCTCGGTGAGCTACACGGTACGTGCACACATCCTCAACCTATGTTATATTTGTATAACTCCTGAAGACTCAATATTGAATTAACCTTTCTGAGATGGCTGACACTATAGGAGGGCGTGAGGTTCAATTATTTGGGTAAATCAAAAGCATTTACCCAAACCAAAAAGTGCCCTCTTATATTGTGTCCAAAAAAGGCCAGTGTACATCACAATGGATTCACAAATAGTCTTGACTGGCACTATTTTTTGTTGATAACAACACACAAGGAGTCATATATTGTAAGTACATAACTTACAAGTAAGTACTTGATTAACATTGTAATTGCATGCATCGTATTTCGTGAAAAATGAATGTTCTTCCCTTCCCTTTCTTTCATATGACTATGCAGGTTGTGTTGCAATCACGTGATTATAATGCACTGTCTATGAGTGTGATGGCATTTGTTGCCATGATTTACCCATTGGAGTACATGTTTCCTGTTATTCCATTGCTACCGACATGTATGGGATCAGCAGAACAGGTAGGCATCATGTTTTATCACACCCATATTGTGCTGACTTGAGATGTATTATCTGTTAACCTTTAAACATTCTTGCAGTTCAGAGGATTCACAGTACAGTACACTACTAAGCATTCAACTCTAACAGGCCACTTTGTTTAATTACAATGTACTTCAGCGTTAAATTGCGTGTACAATTTTCCAGTAGTTACATCAATGTTCACCCTTAATTTTTTTTTTTCATTAGCCAGCCGGACTATTGAACTTAGTCAACTAGACTCGCTAGCCTGCTGGCCTTTTCACTGGTCCGCAATAGAATGTTTAGTTTTTTTGCACCAGAATGTCATAAACAACAATGTGGATACATGTATAACTTTATCCTGAGGCAATCTTGTCGGTGTTTTCAACAAACGTATCTAATAAAAATGAATTTGAACTGACACAAACTAATAAACGCTATTGATAAAGTAAATAAACTATTTATTACTAAATCAAATCAACTTAAAAAAAAAAAATTATTATTAATATTATTATTTAATTAATGGTGTTTAGAATACATGTATTCACATCACGTTTTCGGCCCAAATTTTCGGCCCCTTTTTAATTTGCGACACAAAAGCTATCAAAACTGGACAATCAAAAAGATAAACATTTGGGAAGGAAATTTAAAAGTCATGAAACAAAACTACCCAACATTGTCTTTGGGGATGGTACCGAGCGGTATCAGCGCGCATGGACTGCCATTAAAACCGGCGCAGCCATGCGTTAGCAGTGTAAGTACCGGTACCAACGTTATGACCTCGATAAATACAGACAAGCGGAAAATGCAAGTTAGGCTGTGTGAATTAAGTTGCAGAAATCTTCTTTCTCCACTGATGTTTTTGTGATATTTCTGCAATGTAAAGTTCGACCAAATTACACTACGTAGGCCATGGTTTTCAATGAGTGCCATACATGCTTATTGCCAGAGTAAAATAGAGGGCGCAATGGTGACACACTCATTCATAAAAAGGCCAAACGGTATGCTGGAGTCTGTGTCCTGCACTTTTGTATGCTTTTACTTAAATACTTCAAAACGCAGTGCCAGTCTATGTTCTTCCTTTAATTTATACGCTGGCGATTTTGGCGCAAGATCGGCAGCGCATTGGCATGAAACAAGCCGAACGCGCGTCAGTATCAGATGAATTTTGGGGGTTTTTTTTACCAAAATTGTCAAACAGTGGCAGGTGGTAGTGCGAAAATCCGTGAAAAAAATCATGTTACTCACTCTGTGAAAACTCTTTCAACCCAAATTTTTTTCTATGATTCCCTTGAGTGTTTCTCTTCATTTTGCCACAGATAAACCTAACCCAAATGCCTCTAAACCTGTTTTCCAGAGAGGGGAAACACTGTGTGGACTTGCCCAAGTCCACACAACGTCGCCTCTACCTGGTTTATGTGGACCTCTTTTGTTCGGAAGTCCACACAGTGAATGTAATGCTTGTACAGACATACACACACGTTTGTTTATGGTGTAAATCAAGGATTTTCTATTGTTCCTCTTCCCTTTTCCTTTGTTTACACTCTTTTTTTGCAAGAGCTCTCATTGGTTTTGTAGCGTTTTCCTTATCATTATGGGGTAGATTGATTTCTGAAGATTTTCGCCGTGGGGAAGATACCGGTAGAGCCTATTGTTCCATTGTGTTTCCTACCCCATAAGGAACCCTGTTCACAAGGGTGTAAACACCTTCAATCCTGGACCCCCCTATTGTACCGCTTTTGTTTGTACTTTAAAGGGCCATTGGGTCATTTCGTGTCAAATCACCCAAAAAATTGAAAGTTTAAACCCCACCCCCTTCAATTGGTTCATATTTAGTGTATGGGGTAATATATACTGAAAAAGCTGAAATTTTAAGTTTTAGCACCATGGGACAAATGGTTTTGGCGCTACCGCCGCCATTGTTTGTCAATTTTTTGGCAAAATGGGCATGGCCGCCACTTTTCAAATGACCATATCTCCATAACCTGTGGGCCAAATTTGTTAATCATGGTTTCTTTGGAAAGGTTACATCATAAGAAATCCCAATTTACCATTATTTTTCATGTCGGAGTAATTTGAAGCAGGAAGACCCTTTGACCTTGAATTTGACCTTGTGGATCAGGTGACCTTGAGACGAACTTGAATGAAAATTATACCCCATCAAGTTTTGTACAAAAATCCAAAATTGGGCGTACAAAATGTTTTGTTTGGTTTCTAACTCATCTCAAAGTTGGCATACTTTTTGCAAAATGTGATATCCCTATGCAATGTACTAGTGGATTAAAGCAGGGATTTTTTGTCTCTGAAAAAATTGTATTGTTGGGTACTTACCCAAGCAACTGGCTCAGAGGGTCAGTTACTTGGGCCAGGCTCGAGGAAGCGAGAGAACTCATGTGAGAGTTAAATTGAAGGCAGTTGCTCTTGCACAAGTAAGCGCAGGGGAAGTAATCGAACACAGGGCTTTTGGATTTTACTTTGCTTAACTTTATGTAATAATTTGTAACAAGTGCAAGGTCCCCAATGGAAACAGGTTTTAAACTGCTCAGGCATACATGCACCCTTGGTAAAGAAATGTAAGAAATAAATAAACTAGAAAGCACTCAAAGACGCAAGCCTCTGCCAAGGCTGAACAAATCCCCGCCATATTGTCAGTACACCCAATAGAAATACTCGCATATCCACTGGACTTCCATATTTTATTGCACATTTCCACTCCCCCCTAGTTTCCAATGGTTGAGTCCATTGACCTGTTGGTTTCAATGGTGTGTGCTCATACATGTAATGTAGACTGCACGCTGCGTTATCCACACACGTCTCTACACCATGTACACATAGCACATTCGCACATACAACATGGTGAAGAATCCTTTGCAAAATGCCTGCATCCAGGCCCAGATCCAGATCACTTCCAAAATCTAATTGCTTTACAGTACTCTTGTATGTACTTGTACCAAGGACCACCCTTGCATTTTTTTTAATGAAAATCCGTCCATAAGTTTGGAGTTATCCTGTTTACAGACAAACCAACCAACCAACGCCGATAAAAACATATCTTCCTTGGCGGATGTAACAGTTAAATTAAATGCAATAGGGGCTAGTCATTAAGCTGTGCAACATTATGAGTTCAAGCTTTTTACATCTGGAAAAATGACAGAACAAGAAGAGGCAAGCCTAGTAAAGGGGTCTAAAGTCACAAGTGTCAGTAAGTCAGTCCATCAGTGAAGTATGTAGGTAGGGATACTAGACTGGGTCTCTCTGAGTCCAGCAAAAATACACCGACGGAAAGAATCAAATCAAGAATTTATTTGTACATGTACATGTAGATAATATAATTATGATTTTCTTATAAATGATGTCAGTGTGTCATATTTTTTTATTATGTTGCTGTCAAACAGTCTCCTTGTTTGGTTGATGTCCAAATCTACTTGAGAATCTTTTAGACAAAAAAGAAAATGTGATTTATTTTCCAGAAATTCAGAGATCTTTTCACCTCTTTGTGTTGTTTATTTTAGGAATACATACATGAATTTATACAAGTTTTGTACATGTCACTAAATTTCAGTTGCTTTTGGCTCCAACACCGTTCATCATTGGTGTGCCAGCTAGTTTCTTCTTGTACAAACCCTACTTCAAACTCCCCGAAGATGTGTGGCTTATAGATCTTGACACAAATAAAGTAAGTATTTCTTTTGATGCTGGGCTGCTGTTAAGGAAAAACAGTTACATGTATATGTCCCTTCATATAATATTCTGGTAAAAACATATGTGGAGGAAATGTCTGAGTAATCTGGCCATTTGTACGGCAATGTTGTAGTATTTTCCCCCCATTTTTTTGGAGTACATATTGGTATGTTAAAGTAAATCAATTTTTGAGGGGTTGTTCAATGTTATAAAGAATGATGCCGTTTGCCAAGAATGATGCAATAAACGTCCAAATTTATTCATGTACAAATAATTTAGTCATAAGAAATAATTTGTTAATATGGTCCTAAGCATTTTATATTTTAATCTGTATTTCTTATCTTGAATGGCATTTACATATTGGCCCGTGGTATCATGAACCACTACCGGGAGTGCTAAAGACAATCCACTGTGAATACCCTATTAAAGGATAAGTAACCCTTCCTGAAGTAGGCCTACACACTAATTACTTAGTCATTTACAGTAAATTAATGACCCCCAATTTGTTGAATGTGCTGGTAAATAAATTTCCTGTATTGCTCTAGACTTGAAATCAATTAGTGCTCAGTGCATTAACCCTCTTGTTACCCTTTCACAGCATGATATACATCTTGTGTTTCCTCCAGGTCCATGTACAGAATTGTGGAAATTTACAAGCTTTTTGTACATAGCCTACATGTATGGCTTAATCCTTTCAATAATTTGATTGGACAAGATTACTGGCCCAAAGTAAACTGTATTATGAATATTCTGCTTCATGCAAACCAATTTGCAAACTGGTTGCTTGACCTGGCCTATTCCAGTTGCTAATTGTTGCCGATGCTAATAGTTTTTTAAACTCATGTTTATCATTAGTTTGGTGTTTCTGTGTCCATTCCATTCCAGGAGTCCATGCCATCTGTAACCCCCCAAACATAAAGATTTTGTCTTGATTTTCAAATTCCAGTGCAGTTTGCTACTTGCTGGAAAATCTTTACACCCCAGAATGTGTACCCAATGTAGCAACAATCAAACAGTAATTGCAATAAAAGTTCCCTACTTGAGAGCATAACTGTACACCACTAAAAAGTCACAAAATGGTCATTACCATTGAGGAAATAATGCTTTGAATTCATGAAACTTTGAGGGCTGAACTGACTGTATTAATGTCATTTGATTTTGCGCTGAAAATGCTGCCATTGTTTAAAAGCCCTGAGATGTATGGATGTCATGTGTGCTTTCTTATGTTCCAGGTACATGTACATGTACTTATGATTTATCGCTTGGACTGCAGCTCTGATGAATTAAGTTAATTTTTGGTTGTATCTTTGTTGAATTTTACAGATTACATTCTGTGGAAGATATGAAGAAGTTCCAGTGCTGCCTGAACCAGAAGGATCAGTGCTCAAAAAACATTTCAAACAGGTATGTTATGTTGCATTACGTTTGCTAATTTTGAACAATTGGAGGAAAGTGTGTATGTCCCTAACAAGGTTTGAAATAAGTGAGGCACATGGGGCAACCCTGTGTATTGCACTAGGCTTTGCCTCAGCAGCCTGTACATATATCATTGGGTTGTTTTTAGGATGAAGCAGCCTGATAGAATTGTGTTCATTCTCATTGGACGACATTCTGCCACCTGTCCAGTCTGTAAAACATAACCCTTTATTTTATATACTGTGTTCCATATAAATGAACCTCGTATACAATGCGCTGAATGTAAATGCGCTGAACGAAAAAAACCTGTTTACATTGGACATGACGGAGTACAAATGTGTTTTTTGTGTCGTTCTCAGGGTACAATATACACGTGTGTCTCGGGAACAGCGGTGACCAATCACCAATGGACAAAAAAAAAAAATTTCAACGTCCGCAAAAGGCGAACACTTTGGGTAGCATCCAAACAGCTCAAATTTATGGGGTCGCAAAAGTGGACCCCGAAATTCGTTCTCGCACGCATAATACAGGAATAACACAAAAACACCAAGTTTTTAAAGGATAGTTGTGTGGATGTTTATATCCTACTTTTAAATGTTATTTCTGATTAACATCATCTCGTTCAAAGCGCGTTTTGTAGCCCAATAGGGCTATTTCAGGACCTAGTTGTCCCTTTAACTCCCTCCGGGTGCATATGCGCCCCACCAGGTGTTAAAAATGGCATATCCCACATCACAACAGTCAATAATTGTTAAATGTACGATGGCTTAATATTTTCAAAACTGACTGCTAATCAGAGGAGCAACTGAATGATGAAATGCACTCTCCTTTTTGTGTTAAGGAAAGTGGGCAATAGGTGAAGCCTCGTCTCAGACAAGTGTTCGGCAGTATCTTTTAGAGCCCTTTACAAGAGTAACTTGGCATTAATGCATAACTTTAAGAACATAAGAAATCAAACAATTTGTGCAGCAATTTGCTTATAACCATGTACGGTATATGCTGTCTTATCCTAATTTAAATCTTCAAGAAAGCCTTTGATGCCTTATGGTGTACACAGGGTGAGTCAAAAAAATGATATTTCATATTTAAAAAAATGTGTAGCACCAAAAATAATAATGACTGGAAAGCCAATTTCATAAGCTACTTTTAGATGAACAAAATTACTGAAATTGCTTAATCCGTTCAAAGAATATCACCATTTAAACACAATGACCCTAAAACCTCTTTTGTCCAAAAAAGTGTGATTTCAAGAATTGTTGTCACAATTGTCTTCAAACATCACCAGCGATAAAACCTCAGTTTAAAAGTTAAATATATTCAACAAAGTCCTTTTGAAGGCCCGTCTTTAAAAAAAAAAAAGGATTTTATAAATCGTATTGTTTGCCTAACCAGGATTGTTAATGAAGATATTGTGTACTACAGTTGTTGACAGTTATTGAAACAACTATTTTTTGTCATTTTCTTTGTTTTTCTTGGACTAAACAGGTTTTAGGGTCATTTCGTTTAAATGGAGATATTCTTTGAACGGATTGAGCAATTTAGTAATTTTCTAATCTAATAGTAGCTTATGAAATTGGATTTCCAGTCATTATTATTTTTGGTGCTAGATTTTTTTTTTTGTATATGAAATATAATCTTGGGGGTTTGGGTTCCGCTTTATTTGACTCACCCTGTATTAATAAATTGTATTCTATCCTTTTGAACTTGCAGGCTTTGACCAGCATGAGCCTTAGTCCTCCACCAATCAAAGACTTTGAGCAATCCAGAGGAGAAGTTGAAGCCATAAGCAGACGTAGAGAGACTTTCTCAGATGAAACGGGTTTCAATCCATTCATTTATGGCAATGATGTGGACTCTGTTGATGTGGCAACACGTGTTGCGATGGTCAAGTTTTTCAACTCTCCCAATGTGATGGCACACCACAACGAGCATACTCGCACACTCAGGTTACATCCAAGACCTGTGGTTGCCTTTCAAGTCCACAGCTTTCTTCAGTCACGAAGTGTTCTGACCACGTTTTGTGAACGACTTGCTTCAACCCAGGTATATAATATAAATGAATCAAAGTACCAAATACTATCCATACATATTCTTTTGTTTGAATGTGTTAGACATAAATGTGTAATAAAATGCTGCAGTATAAGTAACTTCATTACAGGAACAGAAGGAAACATTTGCAGAACTCTGGTTAAAACTTTCTATATTAGTCACTGTGTTTCTCCCATTGTGATTGCTAAACTGTTTGATAAAGGGCTGATGCTTACTTTATTCACACAGGCTGTAGAGTTCTTTGGTGAATACTGCTTGAACCCAACAAACGTGACATTTTTACGAATTCACACTGGAGTGTATGACCCTCAACTCATCGGTGACAAGGCCAAATGGTTTCTGGAGCAGTTGCAGCCAATCAACTTCAAGGTTTGTTATTTCAACTTTGCTGATGTGTCATGAAGTGATTCCTACACTTGTGACAGACTGTTCCAGAGTCATGCCAATCTAGAACTATTCTGAAGATTAGATTAAGTTATTTATTTTATGATGCCCCGCCTGCCGGTGAAACCGAATGACCCATAGATCAAAGGTTAAGGCCATTATGGTTTTAACAATAGATATGGTTTCCGCAGATATCTTTCAAGAATTAGTTGGCATATACAGTGGAACGCCGCTATACCGAACACCGCTATACCGAACATTAGGCTATACCAAACATCATCCTTGGCTCCCGGTTTTAATGTACAAAACGTACCCAACATTGTGGCTGAAAAAAGTCAACAGATTAACAAACAAATCTACTGATTGTACATGTATTAAACATTATAACACCTCACCCACAGATTCTGTGTCTTGATTGGCCGAGAGCGAGTCACATGTTACTTTCTAATTTTGCTATCTTTCTGTGCACGGCCAAAAGTACTATGCGCATAGCAACCAAAGTACTATACCATTAGCAACCAAAGTACTATTTCCACGGCGCGGTATTTGTGTGCAAATGCATGCTGGTGTGCGCTTTGTGCGTTGTGCGTAGCGTGTATTATTCCCAAGAGAGCGCGCCGCAGACTTGGGTTCAAACATTTCGTGAAGGGTTAGTTTTTAAGAGAGAAATACATTTTCCACCAATTTTGTATTGAAATTTAAGTTTATTTCAACTGTGTTCAGATTTAAATAATGTAAAATATTAAAATCAAGCAGAATCTGTGGGTGAAGTGTTATAAAACAAATATTGAATGCTTTATCTCGTGGTGAAGTAAAACTAGCCTCCCTCGGTGATCCATGGACCATTCTATTTTCCCTCGGCTTCGCCTCAGGAAAATAGAATGTCCATGGACCACCTCGGGAGGCTAGTTTTACTACACCACTCAAAGCATTCAATATTTGTATACTATTTGGGCCACTTTTAATTCCCGAACATCAAACGACCCATAGTTACATTGTGTTTGAATGTTGAACAGCGATAGATGGCTATTATTTCCCAAAGGAATAGAAGGGAAAAACCGATGTTTGCTAAAGTATTGTGACGACTCCTCGTGCGGCCGCGGGCCTTGTGGACAATTCCACTCACTATTGGTCGGTAACAGCAGTTCAAAATTGCTGTACCGAACGAACGTTATTACGAACACTTTCTGTGGATCCAACGATGTTCGTTATAGCGGCGTTCCGCTGTACCGGTATAAACTTCAAATTTGGTAAATGGGTTGGGTCCCTCAAAAGGCCAGAGCTTGCACAGTAAGAAAACCAAATGGTTTCAGATCTCATGACACACATTTTATTGTTATGTAAAAAAGAAAACATTTTTCTATTTGTGGAAATTGGGTCAACTACTCATGAGTTCTTGACTACTCACAACTTTGTTTATTCATGAATACTCATGTTGAAATAGTCAACACTTGTCCATCAGTAGAAAATGATCGTGTGGTATGAGTATGATAGCTGGGAGTGATTAAAATGTCCTATGACATCATACAGACAAGCATGGCATGTGCGATGAGGTACAATGTATATAAGGTATCAGATACAATTAGTAAAGCGGGAAGCACATCATTTTAATACCTTTTAACTGTTGCACTTTTGACAAGGCTGTTATCGTTCGTCCTTCTTGATCACACTTGAAAAGATATGTTAAACTCTGCGTTGAGTATACTATTAAGGAGGTGTAACAAAAGCATAGCTGTTTTGTATGAATGTTTAAAATGTAATGTTAATTTGTGAGTTGACTAGGTTCACTTTGAACAAATATGAATAAAAAACAAGATTTTATGTAGTGGGACTTGAACCTGTGACCTGCATAACATTTTACCGTGCACCAAGCTGGATAGATCCCTGGTCTAAGGCTGAGCTTGCAGGTTAAACGCGTGAGTCTACTTCACTCAACTTACCTGTAGAGCAATCTACTTATGTATATTTCCCTAGACCAGCAGGTATTTACGCTAAGTGTTTATACAGTAGCGCCCTCTGGTGTCCTGCCCATAGTGCCCCCGTTCTTCCTCTTTTCTCTCAGCGGCAGGTCGGGCAGGACGTGTTTATAATACTCTAGTATTATTTCTCGTTTTTTGACTGCCTGTTATGGCAAATTAAGAGAAGTTTTCGATTTAGAGTTTGTAGTTGAGTTTTAGTGTTGTGTTCTAGTGAGATTATTTCATGAAAATAAAATGTTTGGATAGAGCTGGTCTTTTCACTGCAGGGGGAATGGAACTTCCTCCGAGACAGACCGAGTTCCTAGGAGTGGCTGTTTGTAGCTACTAGTAGCGTGGAACCGTTACCACATCAGTGGTCTCCCGTCCGGCACCCACAGCCACAGACTCAGTCAGAGTTCTTTTCTTCTTCAGACTTCTTTGTCCCGGACATCAGATCTTTCTTGTCCGTTCCAGACGACAAATTTTGGTGCCCAGTCAGGGCTCTGAAGTGGTAACACCCAGGGCCTCTGGGCCCCCTTGCCCACCCACTTGTGGAGCAGCGGGGCCCACCAGGGGTTACGCCTCGTGCCACGTGCCCCTGTAATATAGCATCTCGCATAACCCACCACCTAATACCCGGTGCGGTCTATACATAAATAGATTGCTCTACAGGTAAGTTGAGTGAAGTACCGGTAGACTCACCCCCACAGAAGTGTGGATGGGGTCTACGAATGAATACTTATCCAAAGAGCATCCCTCCCTCCTACCCCACTATTCTCGATGAATATATGGGTGCACCAACTTTAGTGTTCAAGAAAAGGGGAAGAGCGCAGGGCACCATGGGTAGGACACCAGAGGGCGCTATTGTTTAAACTGTAAATACCTTCCGGTTTAGGGAATATGCATAATTAGATTGCTCTACTCACCCTGTACAGGTAAGTATTCGTTCCTAAACCCCATCCACACTTCCCTGTGGGAATCCACTTCATTTCTTTGCTGAGCACAACATTAAGAATAAACAATAATGATTATTTTAAGTGAAACCACTTTACCCTTTCTAAAATAGCATGCAACAGCATTCTTGTGAATGAACGTGCTGCGAATGAATTCCTGACTAACTGGTTGATTTAATTACAGGTACAGTTTGACAACTGCACTTTGGGGATTCCAGTTAACAGTGGTACTGAGGCTTGGTCTGATTCATCTAATCCTACTGATGAAAGTGGTGAGGAGTCAGATGGAGGTAGCAGTAGTAGCTCATCATACTCCTCACTAAATGATTTTGTCACTGACATGATGAATAGTGACATCCAGGGAGATGTGTTAGGTCAGTATCTAAACACTTGGTGTACTGTGTATGGCCAAAGTCACTGTATTTTAGGGTATAGACCAGTCAATGTTATGTAGCTTGACCATGAAGTTGTCCTGTAAACATTTTATTAATCTGCATATATCTGCAAAATTAAACACATTGTTCCCCCATGTCATGCACGCATTAGTGTTAACTAGCACACAATATATTGTGTGGTCTTTTTTGGTTTAGATTGGCTCTTATTAGTCCAGCGGATATGTGAAAAAATTGTGCACTTTTGCATAAAAGCGTGAAACTTGGCACAGATGTTTATATTCATGCGAGAAAACGTTTTAGATGTGGAGCCATCGCAAATTTACCCTTTTAGGGGCGTGGCATCCATTTAAAAAAAGGGGGCGGGACTTGTCGTGCCCGCAGTAAAAAATGGTTTTTCCCACTTGTTACAAAAGCAGGAAACTTCACAAAGACATAATTATATAGATTATTAGTGTTTTCCAGATTTGGAGCCACCACAAAAGTACCTTTTTAGGGGCGTGGCAGCCATTAAAAGAAAAGGGGGGGTTAATTATTATGCCCACTTTGGAAAACATTGTGCCCATATTTCATGAACGAATAAAACGTCCCAAAGACGTTTATATTCATGAGAAAAAAAATTCCAGATGTGGAGCCATCTTGATCACACCCTTTTAGGGGCGTGGCAACCATATAGGAAAAAAAGGGGGGCGGGGTTTTCATTATGCCCACCCTGGAAATATTGTTCCCACACTCATAGAGAAATGGAACTTTCCACAAACATTGACATTCATGAGAAAACAAATTCCAGATGTGGAGCCATCTCGAACACACCCTTTTAGAGGCGTGGCAACCATATCAGAAAAAGGGGGGGGCGGGGTTTTCATTATGCCCACCCTGGAAATATTGTTCCCACATTCATAGAGAAATGGAACTTTTCACAGACATTGACATTCATGATAAAAACAATTCCAGATGTAGAGCCATCGCGAACACACCCTTTTAGGGGCGTGGCAGCCATATTGAAAAAAGGGGGCGGGGTTCTCATTATGCCCAACATGGGAAAAATGTGCCCACATCTCATAAACGAATGAAGCTAATTTCCACAGACATTAAACTCACGAGATAAAAATCACACGTGGAGCCATTGTAAACACACCCATTTAGGGGCGTGGCAGCCATAATAAAATGGGGGGGGGGGAGTCATGATGCCCCTATAAAAGAGAGTTCTTATGTAGAGCCACAGCAAACTCATCCTTGTAGAGGTGTGAGGGGCCTACTCACTGTGCCCACAATTGCATTTTTATATTTTGTTGTTGATTTCTTATAATGTTGATTGGCCCATAACCTATATTATTTGGTAATCCAATGACTTACCCCAAAGAGCATGGGTAAGTACCGGTAGGCTAACCCGTGTTATATTGTTCAATTTGTGTACTTGCACCTATATTATCATGCACATCTAAATTCCAGAGTGATTTCATAATCTATATATATAAGAGAGAGTTTAACTCGGCCTCCGAGACGATGTTTGCTCATGAAAGGATCCGAGACCGCGGTCTCCCGCATCGCCAAAATCGCTCCACGTCCGTGGAAAAATGCGGAGGGTGTCTTCCGCCGGGTCGGACACTTCGGGTCGTCCTGATTTTCCATGGTGCGTGGCCACCAAGTGCCCCTATTCTTTCGTATGCTTCGCTTGCAACCCCTGCGCCGAGTGCAACGAATACTCAGAAGGACTACACTTAAGTATGCCTTGCGCGGTCTGACCAATCGAAAGTCTACACTGCGTAGTATTTCCGGGCTATGCAAAACTGTCGATGGCAACGCGTACTGCAGCCTGCTCCACACCCTGGAAACGAGGTTGGGTCTACGGTGCTCGCTATTTGAGGCGCAAGCATGTGACGTCGCGTGATAGAGTGCTGTTGCTTCCATAATGTGTTTACAGCTCCATGCTTCCACCACCAAGGCTGAGTGTTGTGAGTTCGCTGCCCGCCACGTATGATTCAGTGTCGTGTTATAATTTCGGGGGCCTGTTTGGGGTCAACGAAGGATCGATGCATTGCTTCAAACTCGCGATCTTAAACGCAGTCACAAAAAAATCCACGAAACAGTGTCCGACCCGGCGGAAGACACCCACATTTTTCCACGGACGTGAAGCCGCGGTCTCGGATCCTTTCAGGAGCAAACATTTCTCGGAGGCCGAGTAAAACTTGCTCTTATATAGATGGTTGTACCAACTTCAATAAAAGTTACCGACTTTTTCCTCGCAGACGGTCTCGCAAATTGTTAGAAGTTCAAGTTTACGTTTTTTGAAGAGTCCAATACTGAAACTTAATTATGACCTTCCTCCATGATTCAGACCGTTTGTAATTTAATGTTAACACTCAACATTTTCATTTCAAATGACACCTTCACGTTTTATTGCATTATGAATTAAACCAGTCTTTGCCTGTGTACTACAGTAACCTTTTCACTACGTTTTCCAAATGCGACTGCCTCACAAAAAGCCAATTTAACAGACCAACGGCAACATTTACAGACAGTTGCCACGGTACATAATTATCATGTGCGTAAATCGACGGGGGACATGGGGAACCCCCCCCCCTTCCCCCCCCCCCCCCACACACACACATTTTGAGGCGGGGGGCATTTTTTGGTGTCCCCCCCCCCACTTTTTCTTCCCCGAATAAAAATATTGTAGCCTACAATAATGATTCTATTGCTCAGAATATATGTAGCTGATTCAATTACTCCAAACTCAAAACTTTAAAAGATGATCTTTGGTTTTAGTGGTCAGAAATTGCCTCAGATCACACCACAGAAATTGCTTTTCTATAACTGCATGTCTCCCCAACTATATCCCCCATTGACATTTAATTCCCCACATTTTCATCCCCAACACTACGCCCTACGCGATCTATGATCGGGTAAATCAGCTTGTTACAAATACACAGCACACAATGGCAGCCCTAAACTCTAACATTTAACATTAAAGGGCCATGGAAATCCTTTTTTACGGGAAGGGGGGGGGGGGGGAGTGTAAAATCCCCCTACCTCTTACCTGTTGTGCCGCATTGACAGCAGATTGGGTAACAACACGATGTACTCGCCTCACAAAGTGGTGAACACGTCCACTATGACTTCACATTCAATGAATCTGTGTACCCCCACCACACAGCACCTCTGTTCTCTTAAAAATGGTATATCAAGCTCTTATGAGTGTTTTTTTTTACCCCGACAAAATCCATTTAACAAAAATTATACGTTATACAGGTGCGACACTGCATATGCCTTTTGGTCTGTCAGAAAAAAAGGCAGGGGAAACAATGTATTTGAAGAAGTAACTCTAGTCTTTCCAGGACTAACTGAGGTACCCCAGTTTATACCCCTAATTCAGATATTGATGCAGTTGAAAGGTTATCAATAATTCTACAGACGAAAGAACCAGTAACTGGGTTAATATAGATGAGGCAAGAATGCATAGTGTAAGAAAACAAAGGGTTTGTCAACAGTAAATTCCAACTATAAAGGCGGCCCTACTCCAACACATTAAACAGCTATCTGAGGTGGATTTTATTATATGAAACGCGGTCAAAATTTTCCACGTTGTGCATATTGAGTACCCCCCCCCCTTTTAAAAATGGATGCCGCACCTCTAAAAGGGTAGGTTTGTGAAGGCCTCACATTAAAAAAAAAAGATTTTTATGAATATATTGTCCGAGTGGAATTTAATCCATTCATGAAAGGTAGGCACAACTTTCTTTTATAGGGGCATCATGACTACCCCCCCCATTTTATTATGGCTGCCACGCCCCTAAAAGGGTGTGTTTACGATTGCTCCACGTGTGATTTTTATCTCGTGAGTATTAATGTCTGTGGAAATTAGCTTCATTCGTTTATGAGATGTGGGCACATTTTTCCCATGTTGGGCATAATGAGAACCCCGCCCCCCTTTTTTCAATATGGCTGCCACGCCCCTAAAAGGGTGTGTTCGCGATGGCTCTACATCTGGAATTGTTTTTATCATGAATGTCAATGTCTGTGAAAAGTTCCATTTCTCTATGAATGTGGGAACAATATTTCCAGGGTGGGCATAATGAAAACCCCGCCCCCCCCTTTTTCTGATATGGTTGCCACGCCCATAAAAGGGTGTGTTCGAGATGGCTCCACATCTGGAATTTGTTTTCTCATGAATGTCAATGTTTGTGGAAAGTTCCATTTCTCTATGAGTGTGGGAACAATATTTCCATGGTGGGCATAATGAAAACCCCGCCCCCCTTTTTTTTCCTATATGGTTGCCACGCCCCTAAAAGGGTGTGTTCGAGATGGCTCCACATCTGGAATTTTTTTTCTCATGAATATAAACGTCTGTGGGACGTTTTATTCGTTCATGAAATATGGGCACAATGTTTTCCAAAGTGGGCATAATAATTAAACCCCCCCTTTTCTTTTAATGGCTGCCACGCCCCTAAAAAGGTACTTTTGTGGTGGCTCCAAATCTGGAAAACACTAATAATCTATATAATTATGTCTTTGTGAAGTTTCCTGCTTTTGTAACAAGTGGGAAAAACCATTTTTACTGCGGGCACGACAAGTCCCGCCCCCCTTTTTTTAAATGGATGCCACGCCCCTAAAAGGGTAAATTTGCGATGGCTCCACATCTAAAACATTTTCTCGCATGAATATAAACATCTGTGCCAAGTTTCACGCTTTTATGCAAAAGTGCACAATTCATCGATATTTTGTCACATATCCGCTGGACTATATAGTACATACCAAGTCTATCAGGCCGTGACATTGGGCTATATGAGAGCATGCTCCCTGCTGTGCTGGTATTTTTAATCTGCAGGGGCAAAGCTCTCTTGTGCATGGAATTTTAAAGCTCTTAAACTTAATGAGATACAAATGTCTGATACAAATGTGAATGATCTTTCCTTCATGTTGTTTTTTTTTTTGTAAAAAAGTAACCAAAAAAATGGTGTATTTTTAGCAATTCCGCCTCCTGTAATTTTGCCGTACCACGCCTGCTTGGTCCAGCATGGCATCATCAGGCCAACAATTCTACAATGTAACACAGTTATCTGATGGAAAATTTAAAGAAATACTACACAAAAGGAAGATAGTTTTATGAGCAGCCACCAAAAAGTACAATTTTTTTCCTTTTTTCTTGCCTGAACGAATTTCAGGAAAGAGACCATGCAATCACTATGTCTGTCTGTATGTCTATATGTGTAAGTACTGGTATTGTACCGTACCGAGTATGTCTGTCCGTCCGTACATGTATGTGGTATTTTAGTTAAAGTTTCGAAAAATTGCAAAAGTTGAAAATTGTATTACACATACGCGTAAATATAGTTAGGCAACAACCATATCAAAATCCAAGTGCTTTTGTATACATATGTGGAGCGACCCGCACACACAACCCCCACAAACGTGTTCACACCATCAGTCGTGGATGTCCTATTGTCCGTCTTTTGTGTGTACGTTTTAGGAAGACTCCCATAGGTTTTGTACACGACCCCAAACACGGCGTATGCTGGGAATCGTAGACGATATTGTTCTCTTTTGTTCTCTGGAATTTTTCGTCCACAGTTTGAATAGATGAACACGCCCATCTTTGTAAATATTTTGTCCCTCTTTATGCACTAACTTTTTAGAAAGACATACATTACGTTTTGTACATATACACATAAAAAGTGGACCTTCGGTCAGTGGTGGACCCAATGTCCACGATTTGAATGTGTATACAGTACATGTTCACCCACATACTACTCACGTACAGGCTGGTTTGGGTGCAGCAGATCTGTTTGCTTTGCGCCATAATCTGTACACTTTCATGGCGCTGCTTAGCTTATGATTTTCTGCTATTACCAGAGCCTTCGTCTATTTCATGGAGACTGTAAGCAGTAACCACAGCAAAAGGCACGCTTGCCTCAAGAGGAAAGAGTTGTTTAAGTCAGTGACATAACATAGAAATTTCCATGCGCGCGCCATCGTTAGCACATCCGCATCATGAAATAGTGCTTAAGATTAGTGCAACTTTCTGCTACATTAGAACAACTTCTCCGCTAATTGTTAAGCAGCGCCATGTAATTGGCCCAGACCATCTTTTTCCTGGATCCATGTTAAATCAAGATCAAAGGGTTCCAGTTTCATTTTTTTATTATTTCGTTTGGGAAAAAAAGTGTACCAGGAATTGTTTTTGTGTGTGTGGTGTAAGACAAAATAGGTTCTAAAGGTAGGTTCACCATTGACTGTAAGTAACACCAACAACTTTCAAAATGTGATGTTTCAAACTCTTAAGGGCCAGGTCGTGGGTCATAGCCATAACCAGTGGCCATTATCGGCGACCAGGCCTGTAACTGGTTTAAAACCACATGTTTGTAACTGCTCCATCAAAGTATCATCCCCTCATTAATTGTACAAGTCAGACAAACATTTCTGCAACATGCCCGTAGATGTTCACACAATTCTTTGAATGTTTGTGTCATGTAAGCTTGTCGGGTCTCGCTTAACGTAGTGTCTTGTGTTCCATGTAGGTAATGTACTTGTGTTTGCTAGTTTTGTGTTATTTTTGTATGTCTAGGGATAAGCTGAAAAGCTTATGCTTCATTGTTATCCCTACCTGTTGGTAATTAGCTGATTAATTAAATACTTCTGTAAATAATTGTAATTTAATACATACTATTATTAGTATTATTTATTATTGTAAAGGCATACCTTTTACCAACATGAAATCAATGTTGAAATGTCATGTGCACATAATCCTTCATTTTCTACCTCTTGTAATTGTTTGTGGATTTGTTTTGTGCTAAAGCAGATGATGAAGAGACCTCGGGCTTGAGGAGCCAGGTAGATGAAACCAGCATTTACCATCCTCCTGATACATTGCAAATTCCTGCTGACATGTCACAGAGTGACTCTGCTTACTCATTTCCAGAAACTGATTCATCTAGTAGTCAGGATACGACATCTCCTGAGGTAAATCATGTCATACGTTAGATATAATCCTTGTCAGTTTTGGCTACATGCAGCTAGTGCTAAGTTAAAGCTTTTTTTCAAGCTGGTCATATTTGAAATGATAAAACACACTTGATGAAAACACAACCTCAAAAACCCTAAACCTTTAAAAAAAATTAACAGGTGTGGTTAGATATTTCTACTTTTAGTATACAACATGGTTTGTGGGGAAATAGTGAAAACTAATGACCCTGAGGTGTTCGCCGAGGGAGATAGTCCCAATCATCCAACATTTGTTTTCACTATTTCTCTGCAAAAACATGTAGTATTTGTTTTACTATACCTCATAAATATTCAATCTGGCAGCTGCGGTATTTCATTGGTCCATTCCACCATGTATTTAACACATTATTTTAATTTAAGGAGACAAACAGAATAGAAAGTTAATTTATTTTGTGTCATTTAATAACTTTAACATTCACGCAAAACACTGGATTTGTTATTATTGTGTAAAATTTCACCCAGTTCCTCCTCAGTTAAAATCGCAAAGCTAGCACCACTGGTCGCCATTTTGATTAATGCCATAATAGACTGGCACAAATGTCCTCACTGGTGTTCTCCACTGAACGCACGTAAAGCGCATGTGTTGTTGGTAAAGAGATAACACAGTACTGGAACAAATCTAAGGCTGCGACCCAGGTGTGTGATAGTACCCCCTTGGTTTTTGCACGTCACGCGCGTACAAAGACGCGGGGAAATAGTAAAAATTTCACACGGTTTAGTTGCTGGAATGGATCAATGAAATGCCGCGGTTGCCTGAGGTATAGTAAAAAGTATTAACAGCTAAAAAAATGTTTAAAAATATCTCTCTTTCGTGCTCATTTTCACATTATTTCATTAAAAATATTGTCAGTTAAGACACCAGTATATTGGCACTTTTGAATTGTAAATGTGTTATTGTAGAGTATTAATACTGCTTATCTTAATATATCACACCCCTCAACACCTGATTCCCACCATGCCTTTCCCTATTTCCCATCATGCCCAACCTTTGCAAATCCCATAATATCCTACTGCAGTCATCAGATGGTGAAGAGCTTTGCATTGCATCAGGCTGGAGGGTATGCATGCTTTGTGTCTATTACTATATTGAACTTTTCTTTTGTCTACTTTGTCAGATGGTTTTGTCCACATGTTGTTTTAATATTTCAGATTTAAAAGAAAATGTAAGTTCTGTATCTGCATTCAGAAATGCTGAAGATGAACAAGATACTGCAATCCTGGATCATCAAATCATACTCATAAAGATTTTGCTCACATTTCAAACCTGTAAATAACAATGTTGGCGAGATGATGAATGTCAGGTATCACACACTCCATAAATATAGCGAGCATTCAAAAGAAGGGACTCCTGAATATGGACAGGTTGGCAATGTTGAGTGCGTACATGAAACCTTGAACTGTATAGATAGAGTGAGTAGGTTGGAGTAGCTTCATTTAGCTCATAGTTACTTGTGTCAGCCCATGGGAAAACAACTTTCAAATACACAACCTACATGTACACAATATTGCAACAGTTGATATGGTTATGGTTGAGGTGCACAACATTAAAGGAAATGAATTGTTTTCAAAATAAATGAAATTTGTAGTAGAGGGAAACACAAATGGAACAAGAGTTAGCGGTTATAACTACAGAACCACAAAACTTTGATTCTGTATAATTGGGATTAGAAGCACCTTTCAAAATTTTTAAAAACCCTTTCACAATTAATCGTACAGAAAATTATCACCATGCCTTAAAGTTAATGTATAACATTAGCACATCTTTGAAAATGCAACTGCCAAATTATTTTTAAATAGCCTACTTGATTATAAGTAAATGGTTGCCAGGCCAAATGATTTTTGAAAAAAGACTGTTGTTTTCAAATGCTACATCCCATTACAGGCGCAAGCCAACTATTGACCTCATGGTTAGGCTGGGTAATGAAGGTATGTGTACTGTACATGTATGTAACTTTTGTCCCAATGACACAGCCAGGGTAAAGGTTTGATGCAAAACATATTCAGCAAGTGTTTTTTCTTGTTTTTCTGGCACAAGTAGGCCCAAAAGATTGAACAGGTCATTGGAATGATATTTGACATGAATTATTATATGTAGCCCCCAATTTCATAAAATTACGAAAGGCAAATGTTGTACATTAATTATGACTCAAAACGTTGTTCCCAAAATATTCTTCTCGGGTTGGAAAAAATTGTGTCAATTGAATTTTGGTTATTTAGTGTTTAATTAAAAATCCTTGAAATTTCAGGCCACTGCTTTATATGCATCCAGCAAAAATCATATGGTGATACTGGTATTCTTGTTCCATTTTTAGCCACAAGTAAGACTTGAAGCTTTACATTTTGAAGTTAGTAATATGAGTAGGTTTTCAGTTGCATCATGTGACAAGAAATCTCTCAACGTTAGGGGGAAACTCAATGTTTGAAGAGTTTGCCTCTGCTAGTCATCAGGAGACTCGGGCATTCCATTGGTGGTGGAAAGTTATATAGGAGAATATAGTTATGTAGGTTAATTACATGTATAAGGTGCGATAGTTACAACTCAGCTGAGGCTGGTGATATTATGTGATCAGTGAGATGTGTGAGTGTAGCAGAAGGAAGCAGGGAAGGTTGCCAAGGGTATAGGATGCAGAGAATGTTAACGATACAACACTTTTATCACTTCTCATTCAACATGACGTACTTCCTGCCAACGCCTGCTAGAGGGCGCTATACAGACACAACAATAGGCTGACTAGGGTGGGAAAACTACATGTTGTCCTTTGGTATAGATAATGCACTGGACTGTTTAGAAAGAATGGAGTGTCTTGGTGTACTGTGTTGTGCATGTACATCTTGATGGCCTCTTGGATGTTGGTTGGAAACCAGTGCTCAATGCTTGTGATGAGTTTAGCTTGATGCCAGTTGCTATTTAGGTCTTCAGTGTGGGAATGCTTGACTATGGAAAACTTGTCTACCCATCTGCCATGGGCTTTGTGTTCATTTAGTCTGGTAGGGAGGTCCCTGAAGGTGTTTCTTGTCACAGGTGCATTTTAAGCCCAGCCGACAAGGGCTGGACTTCATGATATCGTCTACCCTTTTCCCCAACCATTTTAAACCTTAATGACAGGAAAATCCATCTTCTTTACCAATTTTACCAAGTCCTCATGGCAGGATAAAACCACAGATGACAAGTATGGACCCAATCATAAGTTGTTTAAATATTGATAGAAAACCCATATATAAACTCTATTATGTATCAGGATAGGGATCTTATGCAAAACTGCTGGTAATATAAAATGGAAATAGTCTTGGTTGGGTAGTAGGGTTAGTTACCCCCTCCCCCAGTGAGTTCTGTGCACAAGTACCCCTTCAGCGGCCAGAATTGGGGGAGATCTAGAATCTATTTTGAATATTCCAAAGCTATTGGGGGTGGGGTTTAGTCTGGGAGACCATCGCAAGATAAATTCAAATGCATTCGCGTGCCGACGACAGCTGACGCTCACGCGAAGACGCTGTGGCTAATACACATTCAGGAAGTTGTGAGTACTTTGCGTGCGAGCCAGTACAATATGCACACGCTGTGTCCCCCGTCCACGTTGCTCTCAAAAGTGCTAAAAAGGCTCAAAAGTGCTAAAAAGGCGCCCTCTTCTGTTGGCGCACAAAGCCCATAGTGAAATGGAATTGCTCTTTTGACATGGGATCAGGAACAGCTATCTGTTACAATATACATTCAACCATTGGCTATGAGATATGTAGCCGAATTACAAGTACTGGTACCTCTGTTTAAAATCTGCATCGATCTTATATGCTATTTTTTTTCTTCTTGTATGTTAAAAACTGCTAAATAACTGCAATAACTGTATTTAGGATTTGATAAAAAAAATAACGAAAAAAATGTCGCAACCTGACACCACTTTTTTTTCATATTTCATCTCAATGAAGATCATTCATTGCAAAAATGATGATAAGACATGAATCTGGGACTGAGAAACATTTCTGATTTTGTTAGGAAATGCTTTTAAATTTTTTTTCACTCTCCACAGACTTTGTACGCAATCGCGGAAGTGGCGTAAGGTTTGCAACAACATATTTTTTCCAAAATAACAAGTTTTTTTTAACTCTTACACATTAAGTACCAGATGTTAAAAGTACTAAAATTATATTTTGATTTATTTCTGTGACGGTACAGGAGTTGAGGCATTAGGGAGACATTTCTAATTCCCCCCCCCCCTGTCTCCCAAAGGTATGACTTCTGATGCTAAGGTGACTCCCAAATGATACTTCACGGTGGTAATAATAATAAAAATAACTATGGTTGTCATTTGCATGTAAATGGAGCACTCATCCATTCCTGCTCTATTTATAATTCTGATGCCACTGTGAATCAGATGCTAGTGTTACACTCATTGATACATACATGTATTCATTTCCATTTGTACAGAGTAAGACAGGGCAAGATATGGAAGCAGACAGTGATGCTGATGCAGATAGTATTCAGTATGACTCGGACACATCTGCACAAGTGACTCGATTGAACCTCAAACACAAACCAGCCGCAGCTGGTACAGTATCATCAAGCAATGCACCAGACAGTCCATCATTGGATGCTGATGTAAGAAGACGAGGAAGTGGCAAAGATGAGCGCTCATCACCCACATTCCTAGAGAAGGTCAATGCACTCTTTCGATCTGATTCATCAGATTCTTCCACCCCACCGACACCCACTAGGAAGAAGCCATCTTTGTTGAAGAATATCATGGATCTGGCTTTGGAAACGACCTCGAGCAAGGAACCAGTTGGTAAGTCTCCTAATCAAATTAGTCCATTGAATAAATTAGTTCATTAATACTGAAATCGGAAGTTTATAATTTTGATGAATTTCATTATAGTTGTGAATTATATATGCAGCAGTGTTTATAATCAGGTTCAATTACATGGAAAAGTAAGGCAGCACTTTAAATGATTAAAAAAAATAAAAGTTTGCATAAGGTTTTATAGCAACAACTACTTCATGTGAGTATGCATTCATGTTGCCAATATGTTCATCAATTCATGTTGAACCAAGACAACAAAGCAATCGAGACCCATTTCGGCTTTTCCAAATTGAAGTAATGAATTTAACCCAAAACAAGTATACTATACTATACTATACTATTTTATTTCTCGGGAAAATATCAACAAGTACATGTAAACAAATGACTAAAGTTACAACACAAAACAACAAAAGCTTTAGATACATAAACAAACAAACAAAAACAAAATACCATTCAGCTTCCGAAGGATTGCCCAAAAGAAACGTTGTTTCTGTCTAGGGGTTCTCCAAACTGAATGGCATACGTGAAAACAACAAGCAATAAATATAAAAAGAAGTTTTAACTATAAAAAAAAAAAAGTTAAATAAAGTTACGTTAGTTACTTCTACATATATTGCACACTGTATTTTATCATTTTCATATTTCTGACACAAAGTTTTAGCACAAACCTAATTGTGTTATACTAAATTCACAATACATTTCTGTACTTGACCTGTTATCCAATCTAAAGTTACACAGAGTCTGTTAGCGTTAAGGTCAGTTCAGATGAGCAGAGTCATTTGTCTGTCATGCAAATTTATTATTTCTTTTTTAGTAGTGTTGGCTGATGAAATCTACCTTTATTGAATAACTAATATGAACTTTTTGAATTGCATGTATGTAGGGTCACCAACATCTATTGCAAGCACAGACGCACATGAATATAGTCCCAGTGTGCGATCAGATCCTGGGCCATATCGAGGTAGTAGTGCTGCTCATGCTAACACTATGGGCTTACCGCTTAGAAAGAAGAAACCAACATCACCGTTTCCTAGAGGTAAAGCTCTTTTGATAGACATGTATGATGTATATGCAGGAGCGAATCAAGACATTTTTCAAGGGGGGGGGGGGGGTGTTTCATCATCCCCCAAAAAATCTGAAATGTTTTCTCCGGGGGGGGGGGGGGGGGGGGGGGGGGTTAACCATATTTTCAATGGGGCGCTGTTCAATTCCGACGATTGTTAAACACTATAGCACCAAGGGTGGATCCAGAACACAATTTTGGGGGGGGCCAAAAAAAAATTTGGTCCCCCCCCAAAAAAGTGGGTCTCAAAAATTACGGCGTGGGTTTCGGGGCCAGTGAGGGCCCCGAAAAATTTTTGGATTCTAGATGCTCTGTGGTGCGATCTGAGGCAATTTCTGACCACTTTAACCAATTTTTTTTGAGGAAAAGATGGTGGTGTACTCATTGCCTGCCTTTATTGCGATGTCACATTAAAAAAAAAAAAAATTGGTTTCGTTTTGGGGGGGGGGGCCATGGCCCCCTTTGGCCCCCCCGGATCCGCCCTTGTATAGCACAGAATAGTGTACATACACCCCCTAACCTCTGTCTGCATTTTGTCCAGAGGTGGACATTATTACAAGTAAAACATTTTTGGGTGTCAGAGGGGGGGAGGTTTCACATTTTTTTTTATGAATTTCTATGGAAAAAAAAAAATTAACAGAGCTGCGGGGTTTTTGACCCCCCCCCCGGATCGACGCCCGATATGTATTGCTTCACATGTTTCATGTGCCACAGCACTCCATTGGTAAACTTCCACAAAGATGAATTGGTACAAAGGTACTCCTTTGCTTTTGTTCAGCCGTAGCTGTGTTGCAGTGATTGTATCAGGTGACAAATTATGGAGCCCCTTTATCAAGAATACACAATGTTAGTCATTGGCGTCAACAGAAATCAAGAAATTAGATTCCTTAAAGATCTAATTACACCATGCTCATACATTTTCCCCACAGATACGCGTCGTTCATTAGTGGAACGTTCTTCATTAATCAAACACAGCTCTACCAAGAAACCAGACAAAGATCGGAAAAGATTGTCCATCTCAGAAGACAGACCTAACAGGTATGTTTAGGATTAGTAGGCTTGATCAAGTAAGAGAATCGTCACCAAATTTCACATGGTTTGAAACTGACTCAAAAGTCCATGTCATTCTTCACCACATTTAGTTTGTTTGTTTTTGTTTTAAACAAGCATGAACTTTATTTGCATGTCAATTTTTACTTATGTCTTAAATAAAATTATGTTCAAAAGTGTGAAGGGGACATTGTTTAAAGCCTCTAAAGTTGTTTCTTAGTTTCCATTGGAATAATTTGGCTTTTGCAACGGATACTTTACTTAAAAATTAAAACATATACGTAAACTATTTCGCAGTGTGAATTACTTGTGATTGGAGTAATGAATAATTAAAATGAGGTAAAAAATGGGTACCTCCCCTTTTACAAAACACACAGAAGCTTGATTGACATAACATGAGAAGCCATAACATGAGAAGCAGCCTGTTACAGCTGATAATGTATTACTATACCTCATACATATTCATGATCGAGAGCCGAATTCTCACTTGTCCATTTACCATCATATGCCAGATGCTACGTATTTTTGCTGTTTACCAATCGCGCGTGAGATTTACGCACAGAGTAAATTACGCATGCATACTAGACTGTCGCACGGGTTACTGACAGTCTACTATGCATGCGCCTCATGAAGCAATCGTGGAACTGTCGCACAGGTGTAGTACGCACGCGTGAACATCACCCTAGCTACACATGAAAAGATGGCGGTGTAACATTACAGGTAAATGTTAATTAGCATTATCCCAAACTGGAGAATATTGTGGACAATAAAGATGTCTCCTCTACCAAAAAAGTTCTCCACAATACGGTATAAACTCTTAAGGAGCTAGGCAACTGTATTTGCAAATGAACTGAACTTTTCTGAGGTTGAACAATAATATTCTTTTGGTGAGCTGGGAAGTTTCCATGAATATTTATGCCCAAGCAGTGCATACTGCAACGGGACAATTTAGCAACTGAATATGTATGAGGGATAAAAACAAATATAACATCGTTTGTTTCGGGTAGATAGTCGATAATAGATCCCCTCAGTATTGGAAGTTAACAAAGTAGTTCCCTTGGCTTAGCCTCGGGAACTAGTTTGTCAACTTCCAGTACTTTGGGGAGCAAATATCGACTGTCCATCCTCCAATCATGTTGGGTTTTTTTGCATAATAACCAACGGATAATGTATCGCCAACTGATACTGTAACAATTATTGACCAATACTGTATCACTAACCCATAATGTAACAAAAACTTGACTGATAGTGTAGTAAATGTTGCTACACAAGCTTGGCCAGAAATTAATGATAGGGTTGTTGTAATGTTCATGACAAATTGTTTATATTTACACCTATATAATCCCAACCAAGATTATATGTTTGTTGTTTTCCCTGGCAGATTGGGAAAATAAGGATGTGTAGAACAGCCATCAATTTCAAATTTGTTATCTGGCCATGTGGAATTAGTGTGCCAAGGTACGAAGACCCTGAGGGACATCGGGGAACATTGAAGAAATTTGTTTCCTTAGTCTGGTTCCCAGACCAAAAGATTCTAACTATTTCTGATGAATCTCAGGTCAGGTCGCCGCCACGGCACAGGACCAAAATGGGAGGAATGCCTCCTGTTTCTGAAAATGTCAGAGGTTTGCTGAATGCATTTCGTCGATACTCTTGGAAAGCGCCTGGGTATTTTGGGGTATAAAATAGGGTTTATTTACCTGCCATTCTTATTAGAAATTTTAAGAATGAGTTGATAATGAATATTCATTGCTTGTATTTAAAAAATTTGAAATTCCGTGACGACTCTGTTGCGTTAAGTATGCACTCGGATCGTACAAGGGGCGAGCTTTGCTGTGTCAAGTACTATTTTGAAGCTGACGACGGTTACATAGTGGTATTCCAAAAGTAGACTTTGTCTCCATTTCGGCTTTGCCTGCTATTTGGGTCCCTAACTTTGAAGTTTCCAGCAAAACATTAGTCCATGATTTCTTACAGTTATTTCTGTAAGAATACATTGACTAATTATTAGCTGTTCCCAATTTCAATTGGGAACAGCTATTGTTTTCGTTAAAGTTTTTTTTGTCTTTCTTTTTTTTTCTTTTTTTTTTCTTTTTCCACTTTTCCCATAGGTTTTGTAATTCTTACAAGCCACTTTGGGAATTATTTTAAATCTGATCAACTTTAAACTTTCCATAGTCATTAACCATCATCTGAAGATGTATGTCGAAACTTTTCGTCATCGTGACGTCAACAGGGGTCACGTGACATCGATTTGAATGTTCATATTCTACAGTCTTATAACTATTGAACTATTGGACCGATTGGTCTCAAACTCAGTATGTATATAGTCAGGGAAGTGTTATAGATAAAAATTGATATGCCAAGGTCCTGGTGACCTTCACTTCTGGTTTTACCAGAAGTGGTAGTTTTTGACCTTAATTATTTTATCTCATGAATGATACATTTGATGGGATTGATACCGTATATTATAATGAAGCAACATTTGAAGAAAAATATGTTCCATTTTTATTACCGTGCAGATTTGTTCTCATTTTATGACCTCATGAATATTTAATGAGGCAATCTTTACAGTCTCATAACTATAGAATTATTTGACCGATTGATCTCAAACCATGTAGGTAGATAGACAGGGAAGTGTTATAGATGAAAATTTGTATGTCAAGTCATGTGACCCCTACTTCTGGTGTTACCGGAAGTGTTAATTTGAGACCCTTATTAGCATATCTCATGAATTATAAATCTGATCAAGTTGATAACTAATATTGTCATACCTCTGTCTTTATACTGTATTTTCATTGGCCCATGACGATCACCTGACCGGGCGATAAATATGCATGGCACACTCCCGTTGTATATCACATTGTGATATCACATGCTTGTAGACTAGTCCCCGCCCCACAGTCCAAACCATTATGCACGGACCGCGTTTAAACCAGACTATACTTGTACTCACTGGTACCCCGCTGTACTTTCACGTTCCACAATAGCAGTGAGGGAGCAGTGCATTTGCAGACGATATTTACTTTAATTTGGCGGCCAGCGACGAATTATGTTTACGTTTAGTTGCGGTGCCTAGGCCTTCAGAACTTCGAAAATGAAGAGCTGACTCAGTTAGTTTTTTCGTATACAATCCTCATCAGCCTCAACATGTCAGGTGAGCCCGGAGGCACAGATTCTCTGCCCCAAAAAAGGTTTTTGAGCCGCTCCAAACAACAAATAAAAGATTTAGCTTTTGAACAAGACTCATCGAACACCAAACGTTGTACCGACTACGCAGTCCGCGTTGTTCGAGAATTCTGCGAAGAAACGGGCAGGGACACTCGTTTCGAGACACTTCCTGTAAAAGAACTGGACAGTCTTCTTGAAGACTTTTTTGGAAACGTTAACAAGAAGAATGGGACATCATACCACAGAAATGGCCTAAGTGGAATCCGTTATGGAATAAGCCGACACCTTAAAAAGCATCGGGGGATTGACATTGTAGCAGATCCAAATTGTGTGGCATCGGAAACTGCCTACCGAGCAAGGCAAGTGGAACTGAAAAAAACTGGATTCGGTCAAGTCAACCATTATCCCCCGATCGAAGAGGAAGATTTGGCAAAACTGTACAAATCTTTCGATGTTACTGATGCTCGTAGTCTTCGTAAGAAGGTACAATTTGACATTATGTTTTACCTATGTCGCCGCGGTCGAGAAAACATGAGAGAGTTGACTAAAGAGCACTTTGTTCTTGGAAAAACATCAAGTGGACTACGATGTGTTCGCCAGGTCATAGACGAGCAAGACAAAAATCACAACTCAAAGGATAATCCAGAGGAGGTAGCGACTGATGGCATCATGGTAGAACAACCAGGTTGGTTTTGCTGTTTGTAATGAATTCTGACCAATTTTCCTAGCCCTCAGCTTTGAGAATTATGAATTGATACTCGTACCACTCCCTACCCATTCTGAAAAGTGCATTTCCATAATTTTATTAGGCCCTACCCCATGGAACAATTTTACTTTAATAGGGCCTACCTTCTCTTTTGACCCCATGCACAAACCCTGCGGATCTCGTCTAAAAAAAATGTTTTTCCTAAGAAGAAAAAAATAATCCGCTCCAAAATCATGCTTTCTTATCAGAATTTCACTTTTTTTATGGCTGATAAGCTGTAATAAGGAAAGTATAGTAGGGGTATTAAAGTACAATCTTACCATGTTTATAACAATTTTAAGTTCAAAAAATATATTTTTGCCCACCTTTGTTTCTGATTTTAGACCAGCCACTCTGTCCAGTTGCATCCTTTGAAAAGTACCTGAAGAAGCTGAGTCCTGTCAGTAAGTGTCTTTGGCAGCGTGAACGGTCAAGCATCATGGCAAGCGATACTACCTGGTACACTGGAGTTCCAGTTGGGAAGAACTCCTTAGCAGCACTGATGCCTTCCATCTCACGGGAATGTGAGCTATCCAAGACCTACACCAACCATTCGATACGTGCTACTTCTGTTACAAGTTTAGACGAAGCAGGGTTCAGAGATCGCCACATAATGAAAGTAAGCGGCCACAAAAGCGAACAAAGCATCCAAACTTACTCTAGGCGTATACGCGATTCTTCAACAGGCTTTAAGCAAGGCTCTGTTGGAAACCCCACCGAAAGAACCCAACGCAACAGCCCCAGTACCAGAGCAAGATTCCTCAACAGCGCATGAGACTCCCCAGCCTACTACCAGCAGTATCCTTGAAGACTGTGATCCTGTGCCAGCAAAGACATCATCAGAGACATCAAATTCATCACTACTGATGTTAACTGATTCTCAGCTAGAAGCTATGTTAGCTGATGAAGACACTGAGCCTTGCTCTATGGGACAGTCCATCGAGAGTCAGTCAATCAATCTCCACCACTCAATGCAACAGTGGATGCCTGCTTTCACTCCAAATATCAGTCATTCCAGAGTGAACATCAATATTAATTATAATTTCCCAAATTCAAAGTGAAATTGTTGCTG